CTTCCATCTTGTCCGTCGTGCTCTCTGATGCTCTCTGAAGATATTACCACAAACCCGGTAAAATGTTCGACCTTGACGCACCTTAAGAGACGTCTTCATATCCCTCGCTACAAGGATCCTCGCATTGGTGCTGTAGCGTCACTTTTGAGAAAAAGTTGTCAGGACAGGTGACTCCGCGCCGTCCTTCGGAGGATTTCTAGCAGGGAGAATGCGGACCTGTTTTTTTTTACTCGACTCTTACCGGTTGTTTTATTTTAGTAACAGAGTTCCATGACGCCAGCTGGGAGGGTGTTAATCGTATCCTTGAGTCGGTGGTGTTAGGGTATCTTTTAATGATCAATTTTAACGCCACAGTGTGAACAATGTCATGACTCCTCCACTCTGGCGTCGAGGGTTAGGGAAGCGAGAGAGGGCCGGCGAGGATGTCAACAAAGGTACTTGGAGTCGGAGAATATACCAGAAAGGACTCGGAGGATGTGACTGTAGGACTCTTAGCAAGTAACCCCGGGGACGTAGAGGATCAGACAATAGAACTCCGATCAGGATAGGTCAGAAGGCGCAAACGTCGATGGTGAGACGAAGTTTTGTTAGGTCAAGGTCTACCTGGGTTAGGTTAGGTTAGGTTAGGTATGTTTACACTACTCGCCTCTCAACCCGCGGTACACCATGGAAACAACCACTCAACCCCACCCAGAATTCCGATCCACCCTGAAAAAAATAATAATAACACTCGTGGAAACAAACGCCAGACGAACATTTACCTGTAGTGTCGCTCCCTTATGGTACTATTAGTAAAGTAGCACCAACCATCTTGACACGTCACTTACTAGCCTCAGTGGTGTGTATTTGTGTGAGGCGATCATGTTAGTAATTTTACAGCACTAGAATTGTTCCTTACGCCTTCTACTGAGTACATATCGATTCATTTACTTAAAATTACTTTTCCACTTATAAACAGGCTTAAGTGCTGCTGCTGTATTGTACTTAAAGGGATAAGTCGACTACAAGAAAGGGCGATTTTACCGAGGTTTCTACTTAAGATTATTAGTAAGTTTAAGTAATAGTATTTTTTTTTTGGGGGGGGGGGGGTTCTTGTTAAGTGAGTAAGTGAAGATGGTGTGGTGTAACGTGGACTGGAATCTCCGCCAGTGTCTTCATTTTGAACCCCGGGGAAAAACTGAAACCAAAATCATCCTGAAATATATTACGGTTTTGTGGTGAAATACTTACCCCCTACTCTCTCTCTCTCTCTCTCTCTCTCTCTCTCTCTTCTTATATACGTATACACTATGTTATTCTCTTTCTCTCGTTAAGGATGAGTCAACCAGTTTTCATTGTGTTTTCGACTAAACCAACACATGACTGGCGCTATAAGTTTTCCTAAAGGTGTTTTGGGACATGAATCACGAATATATAACTTTAATCCTTTGCGGACAATGGTTTAATTTTTAATCCTGGTTTAGCCTTTTTAGGGTCTTTTATCCCTTTAAGGATGATAGTTTAGCCCTTTCAGGACTATAGTTTAACCCTTTCAGGACGATGCTTTAATCCTTTCAGGACGATGCTTTAACCCTTCGAGGACGATGGTTTAACCCTTTCAGGACGATGGTTTAACCCTTGAGGACGATGGTTTAACCCTTTGAGGAAGATGATTTAACCCTTCGAGGACGATGCTTTAACTCTTTGAGGACTTTAGTTTAACCCTTTTAGGACGATGGTTTAACCCTTTGAGGACTTTAGTTTAACCCTTTGAGGATGATGATTTAACCCTTTGAGGATGATGATTTAACCCTTTGAGGACTATGGTTTAACCCTTCGAGGACTATGGTTTAACCCTTTGAGGACGATGGTTTAACCCTTCGAGGAGGATATGATGGAGTTTTGAGTAGAATTTTGACACCATTTTAATTCCATATCAATCTCATATGATACAAACTTGAGAGTATACTATCTAAGCCACTCTCAGCCACCGCCTGTATACCATAGCTTACCTGTGGGAGTTGGATGCGGTGTTAAGTCTTTAGGCATAAGATTTCGTCGTATTGTGTCTGTATGAGAGAGATTGTCTTTTTCTTGGTTTTAAGTAGAATTTGTTAGTCTATTTTGTTTTTTTTATCTGTATAATCATCTATTTTTATCTATATTTTTATTTCCTTAATAATAATAATAATAATAATAATAATAATAATAATAATAATAATAATAATAATATTTTCCCAACCTCTCTCGTGTGCTTATTGTATCCGAATCATGGCCGCGGCTTCGTCTTCATCAACGCTCTCTATCTTATATTACCCTTCCCGTTTCTTTTTCATTGTGTCCTATATCTCTTTCGTGATTACATGCATTCACTTACATCGTCCTGTTTTCCAAGACCAGATTCTCAAGGGTTCAATATAATCAGTTGTTTCCAAGAACGAGTTTTATCAAGACGGGTTTAGGTGAGGTTCCGTCACGGGGCTGTTGTGACGTCATTGACCGGTGGAAAATTCGGGAAAATTATTGTTTAAGGGAAATTTTTGATTGTGTATTTTATTTTTAAGAATTTTGTTGTTGTTCGATGGTGTGTTAAAGAGGTGATGCTATTTTTTGTTGCTGTTGTTGGTGGTGGTATTTTATTATTATTATAAATTCATCATCAGTTAAAGAAGTTTTCACCTCGTGTTATGTGGTGAGTGGTTGTGTTATGTTGGTGTGAGTGTGTATGTGGGTGTGTTATGTGGTGAGTGTCTGTACTATGTGTGTGTGTGTGTATTATGATGATCGGTTATCGCGTCTGGTAAATGTTTTGACGTGTTGTGTTTCTGTGTAGTGGAATGTGTCCCTTTGGCTGAGTGAGGAGTTGTTAGTAATGGAGGAACTTGTAGACATGGAGAGTTGAGTGGTGGAGGTAATGGTCATGGTAGTAGTAGTAGTATTGTATTAGTAGTAGTAGTAGTAGGTTTGAAGTAGGGGAAGATAAAGAGAACGAGTCATAGGGAGGAGGGGGGGAGGGACAGTGGCACGTGGGGGAATGAGCCGTGTGGAATTTTATATTAGCTATGGTGTGGCTAGGGTCCCCTGTGTGCTGTGGTGTCTGACCCTAGAGCCACACCTCCCTTGTATTATAACACCACTTTATTAATGGCACTGAAACTGTAAACAAACTGTACCTGCAGTTGCACCTTTACCTGTACTGGCTAGCTGGTACCTGCACCTAAATCATTAAAATGGGTAAAGGTGATGAGAGGGGGAGTGAGAGGGAAGAAGGTGGGGAGAGAGGGAACGGAAGGTGGGGAGTAAGAGGGATTGGGGAAAAGGAAGGAGGTTAGAGATTAGTGATAAGATTTTCATCCACTCGGTGAAGCTGTCTCCACTAACATCGTGATGGGGGGGGATGTGTCTTACTGGCGGGGTATATCCAGGTGGGATTTTGTCTTGTGTAATACTGTTCTGCTTCTTCATCCTCACCTGTGTCTATACCTGTACTGTATACATTGTTTATGTACCTGAACTATGTGTACTGTATATATTTTACACGTTAGATCAAAGGGAATATATATGACGATTTTAATGACTATCTATCAATCAATCTTTCTATCTATCTATATCTATCTATCCTCACGTCACTTCTCACGAGAGGATGGCGATACCTGGCATCTTATATCAAAACAAAAAACAGCTGACATGGCGTCTTGCACTGTTGACAGACCAAACGCTGGCCAGTAAGGTCCACTGTGAAGAGAAAACTACACATTAGTAATGAATTTATATTATTACTTGCTGAAAATTCAAGAAGTACAATGGTGGGTGGGTGGGTGTAGGTATGTATGTCTGTGTGTCGGGGTGTCGGTATGTATGTCTGTAGGTGTGTGTGTGTGTGTGTGTGTGTCGATATAATAATAATAATAATAATAATAATTAACGGTTTATTGAAAGAGCATGGCAGACGGAAGGCTGAAAATATAAAGTTACATAATTGGGGAATGGGTCTTGATTTACAAATAATATACAAGTAACATAAGTGATATACAGTAACTAGGTGGGGAGAAGCTCAAACTACAGGGCATTTCAACATAGTGACAGTGCAAAAAGTAAGATTGACTGGGAGTGAATACACTGGTTGATTACAAGCTATTGATAATTTTTACAATGGTTGGGACTGGGCTGTTCTTATAGCGATCAGTTCGTGCTCGTATGGGCTGGATGAGGTTGTGGTGTCGAACAGCAATTCTCGGACGAGGGATCTCGGGTGGTAGTAGGAGCCGGTGTCGAGGATGGTGCAGAAGCTTCTCACCAAATTTGCAGATGAGGTCGTGTTGATGGTCAGTGAGAGCCGAGAGGTTCAGTGTGTTGAGTGCTTCTTGATATGTGGAGTTGGAAGGGGAGAGAATAATCTTGCATGTCCTCTCATGACAATTCTTAATTTTGTATTGAATCTGCCAAGATATTTTTTTTGCATTATTCAATACAAATAAAGTTAATAGCAGTGTGATTATTAGTCTGGCTTTTGTTACTATTTGATTATCTAGTGATCGTGTTCCTAGTTTGAATAACAGTGATATCGATTTATATATACAGTATATTAATTAAGCAAAAAATTCCGTTTTTTACTTAAGTTTGAGACAAATTTATGTTACAATATAAAAAAATGTGTCCCTCACGTAAACTGGTTGCGTCAGGTATAAACCATAATCATTAATGTTTTAGTTAACAATAAACATTTTGAATTTCATTGGGCGTTTTACGTTAATGTTTACCTCAGTTATATACCTGAGTGAATAATTAACGTTTTATGTTTTGTTGGAAATGTTACCTTAACTGAATATTTTAAGATGAATAATATGTTATCATCAGTCAAATACAGTTGATTTTGGTGTTTTATTTTACGATATAAACATTTTTAATTACCTTTAAACATTTACGACACTGATGTGAATTGAGTCGTGTGTGTGTAATACAAACTCACCAATCATTTTCATTCAGTATGTTGACGTCATCTCAGCTGTACCCTGGGATTCCCTCTCGACTCCAGGGCTGCCAACTTTTCCCCCCAGTATTGACCTGTTTTCTCCCTCCCGGTGGCGCCCTGGAGCACCGGATCACCTGTAGTCTACCAAGGCCAGCCAGGAATTTAGGGTAAAATCCCCACTTGTTTTTCCCTAAAGTAGTTCTTGGTAGTTTGATAGTATGCCCGTTGTCTTGTTTTCTTTTCCTATTTCTACGTTTTTATTCTTTTTTTTCTATCTCTTCGTATTACTGTTTCTTTCTTTTATCCTTACTTCCTCTTCTTTTTCTTTTTGTCTTTATTCATTTTTGTCTGTTTTTATTCATTATTATCTTCATTATCCTTGCTCCTCTTATTAATCTTCCTTTGTTGTTATTGTTGTTTTTTCTTCTTTATTTTCCGTATCATCTTAGTTTTCTTTATTTTCGTTACTTTATTTTGTCTTTTATTATGCCTTTTTCTTCTCCTGCCTCCCTCTCTTCTCTTCCCTCTTCTTTTCATTTTCTCCATCTCCTCCCTTCATTTCTTCTCTTCCTACCTTCCATACTCTTATTCCTTCTCTCCTCATCTCCACTTCCTCCCTCCTTAATTCTTCCTCTCCTCTCTCCATTTCCTTCCTTTATTCTTATTCCTCCCCTCCTTACTCTTATTCTTCCTCTCCTTCCCCCTCTCCCCCCCTCCTCTTTCTCAACCGAAAAAAAAAAGTTACCGCTTGAGTACAATGACCCAAGACGGTTGAGTACGGCCGGCCACACTGTACTCGCGGGGGTTAAGTTATCGTACTCTTGGTGTTTAAGTGAAGGATATCCTGTCATGGTTTCGTTATTATTCATGGTGTTATTGTTGTTGTGTGTGTTATTGTTGGTATTGTTTTTGTTATTGGTGTTGATTTAGTTGTTATTGACATTTTAACCTTCAAAAACGTCTTCAGAATTTTGGTTTTGTGTCGATAAGAGTTAATTAGTATATAATTTACGTAACCCGATTATTTATAGATACAAAGTGTGTGTTTGTGTGTGTGTGTGTGTGTGGTGATAATTTGGATAGTTGTGGAAAGGCATGTGGAAGAGGAGTGTATGGGTGCACGTGTCCCCTATCGCTTTCCTCCCCCTCCCCTGGATTCGCCCTACTCTCTCTCTCTCTCTCTCTCTCTCTCTCTCTCTCTCAGTAGCCATGACCCATCCCTAGTACTGCTTAACTGAAGGAACTCTTCCCTAAAATACGTGTTTACCCCTGGGCTCTTGACGTCATTAGGTGGGGGGTAAGAGGAGGGGGAACAGGTGAATGTTGCTGGGGTTAATGTCATGGACCTCGTGACGTCATGGACCTCGTGACGTCCTAGGCCCTCCTGGTCGGTTAATGGTGGGATCTTATGAGTCATGACCACCAGCTTATTTCACCTGATGATTGAACACGTTTAATAACCAAATCTATCCTATTTTAACCTACCTTAACTCAGCTCAACCTAACATAAACTAAATAAACAAACTTAACCTAACCTAACCTAAGGCTCCATGAGATCCCAAATGTCTCATCTTTCTATTTCTTCAATTTCCTCATCATAAATCCTCTTCCTCTACCAAAAGAGAGAGGAGAGAGAAGGAAAGAGGAGTGTGTAGATGAGGGGAGGTGAGTGGGTGGATAAGATAGGGGGAGTGAAGTGGATGGGAGGAGAATGGGGAGCATAGAGGGGAGGAGAGGAGGAGGGTGGGGTGATAAGGATGGGGGAGGAGGCATCAAGTGGCAAGTAGGAGGAGGAGGAGGATGATGATGAGGTGGATGGAGAAGAAAGTGAAAGTGAATACAGGTAAGTAGGAAAGAATTGATAAGAGGTAAGCAAGCAGGGGTGGATAACAGGAGAAACATGCAAGAGGGGTAGTTCAAGAGGAGGAAACTGGAAGGAGGAAAGAAATGAATTAGGGCAGTGTAACGTGGTGAGAGTGAGTGAGTGAGAGCTTGAGTGAGTGAGTGAAAGTTAGAGAGTGAGTGAGAGCTAGAGAGTGAGTGAGAGCTAGAGAGTGAGTGAGAGAGAGCTAGAGAGTGAGTGAGAGCTAGAGAGTGAGTGAGAGCTAGAGCGAGTGAGTGAGAGTGAGAGAAACTGTTAAGATGATTCGGTGAAGGAAGATCATTGAAAGACTCGACTGGCTGAGGTTATATTAGTAGTAGCAGTAGTATATTCAATGTTTACTTCCTACAACAGGGAGTTTTCTTGTCATTCTTATTTACTTTTTTTTTAGTTGTTGATGGACTAGTGTAATTACGTACGTACCTTTTAGAAGACCTTAATTGTTTAAAGTCCAGTAAAATATATCAACGACGACTCAACCGTATTAGTCTCTCTCTCTCTCTCTCTCTCTCTCTCTCTCTCTCTCTCTCTCTCTCTCTTGTCTGGCTGTTTGTGTAGATGTTAAGTGTGAGTTTGTGTTGGGAAGGTTAGCTCCATAACGCGAGTGAGTGAAAGCTGTTAAACGCCACTGATGGGTCACTTGATAACTCTCACAGGATCGTGTTAAGTCTTTCTGTAACATTAGGCAATATATTTACGCAAAATATTAGATTCTTAACTGATACAGTTTTTAGTGTATGGAAATTATTTAGGGTTCTCGAATAAAAGAAAATCATCTTGTACTATGGAACTTGTTGATTACAGTGGCCGTTGTTGGATAAAAAGAAACTCCGACACACTGACACGAACAAAGGGACAGAAAAATTAGACAGATTAACACCTACCATAGACAAGACAGAGACGAGCCACCAAGACCTTCACCTACTCGCCTGCCCTAAGGACTAGTTTTTGTTCCAGTAGGACCAGTACTGACGGTATCACAACTCTGATACTGTACCCATTTTCTGAGACCTCATAAAGTGTAGTTTTAACGTGCCACATGTGCTACAGTGATCTTCGATATCAACTAACAATACGCTCTAGTTTGTTTTAGTGTTTTATTTGTTTATCTAAGTTATAAACATATAAATAAATATTTTTATTGGTTTTAAGGCTAACGATGAGTCTTGAGTTCGTCGTCATCAAGGGGAAGATTCCGTTCGTGTGGAATTCGATATTATTACGTTTTTTAATATATATTTTTATTTATAACCTTAGTGACGTGAGTCCCAGAACCTGATAATGATTCGGTTCTTGAACTTCAGGAAACTCGGTCTTTCCCAGCGAGGGGCTTTCCCTTAACCCACACGCAGGCAGACCACGATCATCCTTTTCGTGATCGACTTCCCGTGTAGCCTGTATAAAAATGTACATTACTAGATTGAATTTGTTTCTATTTCTAAGCAGAAAAACAATTAGAATTTGTATCAGTATGTATAAAAATGAGAATTACAGAATGAAATTGTACACTTAAAATACAAAAAAGCACTATGCTTTATGTATTTAACTAACAATTATGGTTACATTCGTCATGAAACTTTTATTTGTTTCGTCTAGTTAAACATACTAGTTTCATATAGTGTTGTTTAGATTAGATGCTGGTATAAGCTTCAACAACTAAGGTCTTATAAGTATTTCCACTAAGTTAAATAATTCCAATAGTCGTTAATAACAAAGGTTAAGGTTGACCATATACTGTAGTCTTCTTATTGAATTTAGTCGAATTGTGTCGCCTCAGTCAAGACAGGTTCGGCCAACAGATGGACAAAACGTTTACGGGCGTGAATTAATTGCCTGTTTGTTGTCGGGGAAGATATGAGGGTCTTTAAATCCCCTTTAACTATATTTAAAACTTTATTATTTTTGTGATTTAAATAAAAAAAAACTGAATATTGTTGGGCCAGGTCTGAAATCCACGAGTGAATTCCCGACATGAATTAAGATTAATTTTATTCTCATAAAAAGAAATGCAGAATTTTATACTTTAAAATTATACAGTAGATGCTTCACTTACCTTCCGGCCGTTGCAACACGTAGTGCGTGTTGGCCGCCTCGCAGATAAGACTGAAAATCCGGTTTAATCTCCTTCCCTTTTTCATGTATTTATTTTATCTTAATTTTACTCAGCTCCTACTTAAGAGGTCCAGGATTCGAGAATTCGCTGGTGAGTTTCGAACCCTTTTATTTATTTTATTTTTGTTAGAAGGTGAGCGGGTAGTGGCCACACCTACCAATGATAGTGGCTATACTGTAATACGTTTAGCGTCTATCTCTCTAAGACCACTTGGTAGGGCTGTGTAGCTCCTCCAGACGTATTTAAGGGTAAGAACTAGAAACCTGTCCTGGGAATATTGTTTTGTAAATCCTGTTTTAAATTCTATTGCATATAAAACGAAAAGTATTATGGGGGAGATATTTCAATTTAGAATTGTATGAAATGTATATAATTTTTTTTTTACGGCTGTACCATGTCTTAAACAATTGGTGCTGGGATAACATTAAGTCGGTATGATAGGTCATGTTTGGCTAGACTAAAATTTGTGCTATGTTATATTACGTTACGCCAGGCTGTGATAGTTTTGCTAGGTATTGCTGGAATGTGATTTTACTGGTTGGCTTTGCGAGGTTACCACGTTATCACATGAACGAAATCTCGGCTTAGGGAATTTTATTCTATTTTATTTTTTTCGTGTACACATTTCTTTAGTTATTATCACGACTATGCGTGAGAACAGGTACCTATCATTTCAGCCCTTATAGAAGTGTGATTATCATATACATCACCCATCACACCTGCCTTACTTACCTACTGGGACAAAAAAATCTAACCCATCTACCTTAACTGTCAACCATTTCTACCACCGCCACTTGTCACACCTACTAACCAACGCCTACGTAGGTACACCCATCTACCTCTTTCATCCATTCACGTATTTTCCATTATCATCATTTATTTCCCATACCTCTCATAGTCCTCTTTTTTTTGTCTGACACCTGAATCCTATCTCCATTGTTCTTCCCACTCACCTCTTACCATTTCACATCTTCACCCTTTACTTACCACCAATACTGTTTAATCTTCATTCTGTTTCTCCCTCGTCTTCCAAAGCCACCATTCCCTCTCCATCCAACATTCCTTACTCCCATTCACCTTCCCCCTTGCCGACCTTACTCTCCCCTACTCCCCTCTACCCACACGTACCCTCTCTCCCCCACTCCCATCTACCCACACGTACCCTCTCTACCCCAGCCACACCACTTTCACCCGTGATAACATCGCCAGCTGGAGTGATGAAAAATAACACGGTCTTGTTTTGATGGCCACTTGAACAGGTGCCAATAATTCCTCCCAGGTGCACTGTGACTCAAACACAGCCTAGTGTTTAGTAGGTTGTAATAATAAAAATGTTTGTAGAGGTGTTATATGTTCTGTTGAGCTCTAGACGATTGCATTACCCCTTGCCTACTAAATATCCAGTAGGGTTTCTGGGAATGAACAGAAATTCGCCGTATTATCTTCATAAATGGAGACCTTCAATAGAGATAATTTTTATACTCGGAACACTTGCTGCCCGTGAATGCTTCTTTGTTGAATATTTCAGTCAATATTCGATCCTTTGACATACAAACATGTATTTTCTGTTATGACAAACTGTGGTTTATTTTCCCCAAGACATATTTTGATGAGCTTTAAAAAAAAATAAACGTAAACCAAACCTTAACGGGAAAGCTTAAATGCGGCTTTTTTTTTTTTTAGCCTTGTTTCATAAATGCTCGCAAAAACTAGTTCCATCGTCTCTCGCCCGTGGGGAAGCCTCGCTCTACTTGAACTCTCACTTTCCTGGGCCTCGACTCTCAAATTTCATATACTGTACTGTACACGTCATTTTTTTATTAAACTCGAGTGAGAATATATTTAACTGATCCACATAGTCTACAACACTCTAACGCATTCCCATAAAAATCGTATCTAAATAAGTAAATAGCCCACATAAGCTAGGATAAGCTATTACTGTAGGTTGATGGTCAGAATAACGTTGAAAATGCTGAGGAACTCTTAACGTAACCAGGTGTACCTATTACCCCCTATTACGTGGAAATTTCTGAAGAACAATAATAATTTGAGAATTTGTTAGCCTCGTGCGCGATGTGTCGACTGCTCTTACCTATGACATCCCTGGAGGAGTAATTTACATCAACAAAACTATTCCGTTAGTTATAAAAAGCCCAATTGAAGACACCAGTAAAATATAAACGATTGGTTGAATCTCTAGCGTAGGGCCTGTGAATGTATATATGGTGGTAGATGGCGAATTTCTCTGTTATGATGCCACTAGAGGGAGGGGGGAGGAAGAGAGAATGAGTTAACAAGTTAGATAGGGAGAGAAAGACTTAGTTAGGTGGGGGGGAGAGAAAATGAGTCAGATGGTATGAGAATGAGTCGGAGAGATGGAGGGAGGGGAGTCAGGGAAGAAGGAAGAATAAATGAGTCAGAGTTGGGGTGTGAGAATGAGTCGGAGAGATGGTGTGAGAATGAGTCGGAGAGATGGTGTGAGAATGAGTCGGAGAGATGGTGTGAGAATGAGTCGGAGAGATGGTGTGAGAATGAGTCGGAGAGATGGTGTGAAAATGAGTCGGAGAGATGGTGTGAGAATGAGTCGGAGAGATGGTGTGAGAATGAGTCAGACATAGTGTGAGAGAGAATGAATAGGAGATAAAGGAAGAGAATGAGTCAGAAATGAAGTGGGAGAGAAAATAAGTCAGACGGAAAGAAAAAGAAAACAATGAGGACAAAAGGAAGTAAGCTACATTATCACGCTTTTATTATATTCACTGTGGGGTGGAGGAGGGCCAGGTTGCGTCACTGCTGAATCACGGCAGGGTCAAGTTCCATCTGGACCTATTGTGTTCCTTGTATCTTCTATGGTCCCCATCTACATTTACCCCACCTGACCTAGATCTATTGCGTGACCTTTTTAAAGTGGGTGGTCTTGACCTGTCACTCTTTCCTTCGTTGTTGACATTGACATAACTTGACACAGTTTGACCTATTTTGTTTCTTCCCTGACCTGGTTTATATATATCTTATAACCTTATTTTTTGTTCTCTCATATATCAGTGTATATAGTTTCTTTGACTCGTTCACTTTAATCGTTTCGTATACCAGTTAAACTTCCCATTGGCCTAACTCTTCGATATTCTTGACACATTTTTTGCACGTTTTTCAACAGTGGCCCATATCACCTAACCATGTACTAATCTCCTCTCATTCTGTGTCTCCGGCAGGATTTCACATGACGCCCAAACTGTCGCACGTGTTCCCTGAGTCGTGCATGTTGATCGTGTTGGGCATCGTGATCGGCCTGCTGCTCTTCTACACGCAGGCGGCTTCCGTGTCCCCGCTCACCGCCGACGTCTTCTTCCTGTACCTGCTGCCTCCGATCATCCTTGACGCTGGCTACTTCATGCCCAACCGCCTTTTCTTCGATCACCTGGGTACAATTCTCGTCTTCGCTGTCATCGGCACCATCTGGAATGCTCTCACCATTGGTAAGTGCTGCCATCTTTGTATGTTTTTTGTGTGTGTTTTTTAGAAGTTATGAAAGGACTGCAAACACCATAATTAACTTAAAAAGGGCACACGCCATTAACTGTTGTGATAAGCATCGTATTAAGTTATAAATCTCACTTACCTTCACATATTTTGACAACACGTATAATGTGAACGTCACGACCAACAATTTTGTTTTTCAACGTAATTTGGGGCGAGGCAGATGGTCCAGTAGTGTAAGAGCAACACGAAGGAAAGGCATTGTAAAATTCCTTTCGTTTCCCAAGACGCACGAGCGTGAGGGGGAGGGGTAGGCTCGGGTGCCGTACAAGACATTCGGGATAATATCTGGATACTTTAGAAGACGTGACCCTTGTAGTATTGGAATATATGGTCACGAGTACTGACACTTGATACTCGGTAGAAAGTGTTTCCCCATATATAGTACACTAGCGGAGACATGAAGTAGGGGTAAGAGGGGCTGCGTCTCCTTATATAAATACTTATAGTCCACTAATATACCGTAATAGATTATTCAACATTTTTATCTTTATCACTGATCACCCGACTGCCAGCTGGATCTGCAAGTGCCCTCCTTCCCACACACTCCCCTGAAGAGATCCTAAATTTGTCCGCGTCCATATACAGCAAGGCAAATCAGTTAAAATTGTTAAGAAATACCTTGTATATCAGATCTTATGCTTGAGTTTATGTAACCTCTGTTTTATCATCATATTAGTTATCATATTTTATTTCCTGCATATTTTACCATTTAATATGTATAATACTATTTTATTAGTAGTAGTAGTAGTAGTAATACTATAACTTATTGGGTGATGAAATTATGTTGGCAACTTGTTCTGCTATGATGAAATGCATAATATTGTGGAATTTCTCTCTCTCTCTCTCTCTCTCTCTCTCTCTCTCTCTCTCTGTGATTTAGTGGTCAGTAAAATTTACAAAAAGAGAATAATACTCTGGTGTATGAAATATGTCTAACTCTACCAGTATTTATAAAATCAGTACTAACGACCTGGATTCTCACACTTGCATTAAATTTCCTCATACTGGAAATTCTGCGCGTCAAAAAACGCCGCCTCCTCCCCCAAAACATTCAAGTCATTCTGAATGATATGTAAAATCACTTTAAGGTTTCCTATTTAAACTGATTGATTATAATATATTTTTATTCGTAGTTCTATTTTTTACTTTTGCACTACGGCTATATTAAAAGATTGCAAGAATTAATAATGATAATAATAGTGATGGTACATAATAATAATAATAATAATAATAATAATATATTTTGACTGAAATTTCAAAGTAAATACTGATGTGAATATGAAAACAATGTCGCTAATATTATCTACTCGGCGCAGACTAACTAATGCCACTTAACACGAATTACTTTAGTAAAAAAAAGAGAATCTATAATTGTATTGTAAACAGATATGTATAAAAACATATAATTATTATTATTATTATTTATTTTAAAGAAAACACGGAGGCAGGTCATTGAGGGTGGTGTTGCCAAATGAGGTGCAACTAATTACTGTACTGTTTACCAGACTGAACCCGGAATGTTTTTTGTGTGTGTGTGTGTGTGTGTGTGTGTGTCATTTTCATTCTTTCAATGTCAAAACTTATAAGCATTAACTTACTTGCGCTGCAATAAGATATTGGGGTTATATAAATGGCGTCGACATTCCACTTAGACTCGATCATAAATAAAGCAAATTCATTTTTATCCTTAATTACTGATACAGTATATGGAAAATAATAAATATATGTGTATTTTAAGATGCGGGTGATGGAGGGCAGTACAGAGGTCATGTCAAGGGTTTTCAAAGGTGACAGTGTTGTTTTGGAGCCTGTGTATGTACTATATGTTGAGAGATGTCAATAGTGTACATCTTGAGCTTAAATCTCACTGGAGGCGTGACATTGTTTAGGCCCAGACGTACCCTAAAACATCATCTTTTTACACATACTTACTTACTTACATGAACTATAACATTACGGGAAGAATACACCATATGTATACAACCATTAAGAGTCCGCAGTGACGTTAACAATTAAAAGAAATGAAGTCCCAAATTACTAATGGGTTAGTGACTCAGTGACAGGTTTTCTGCTTATCTTTGCAAAACGTTTAGGAGTTATTGGATGGAGAAATTATATTGGTGTTTAATATTATGATGAAAAATAGAAACGCAAGAGACACTTTTTTTTTTTAAGTTTTGAGTTATTGTTGTCTAGAGTATGATTGGTAAAAGCTGTCTCGGTTTACATGCTTGAAGACCTTAGTAATGTTGAAGAAATGTTTTTAAAGTTGACAGCAACAACAATGTGGACTAGCTTCTGTTTCCCGGAACACCACCCATGTGACGTCACAGTGAGGCTAATTGCCGGATGTCACAAGGTAGTTGATGGGAGGTCGTCTTTCTCTGTTAAACTAATTAAACAACAACGTTTGCTGTACTTCCGCCTTGGGAACACTGAGTCAAAGAGACAGAAATACAGACATACAAACTCAGATACAAAAATAAGAATCTTTTTGTTTTTTTCATAATACAATTATTAATGGTTTAATTATATACTGTACAGTACTGTATTATAATTATACTTTATCTCCCTATATGGATCACATGAAGACTAGCCCCCAGCTTATTTTACCTGATGATTAAACACCCAAATTCTACCTAGGGAGTTTAGCAAAATTACTTTTATTTTTTACTTTTATCCTCTTCACCATTGATCGGCTCGTTAGCCGCTTGGGCGATCGGTCACGTCTCTGTTAAGCACTGTTGGCAAGTACTGGGCATGCACCGGCTCCTGAATATACCTGAACCCGCTCCAGTGTTGGTTAAGTTTGGCTAGGTTAGGTTTGGTTAACATTAGGGTGGTTAATCTAAAAGGTGAGATAAACGGAGGAGGCCAAATCTTCAGGTGAATCCTTTTTATATATTAAGCTATTTATTTCCCCTTGATTATCCCCCTCTCCCGACGCAGGTATCACCATGTACGCAATAAGCTTGACTGGTCTGTTCGGCGAGAGCATCCCGGTTCTACACATGTTCCTCTTCTCCTCCCTCATCTCCGCTGTGGACCCCGTCGCCGTTCTCGCCGTCTTCGAGGAGATCCATGTCGAGGAGGTCCTCTACATCCTTGTCTTCGGAGAGTCGCTGCTCAACGATGGTGTCACTGTGGTGGGTATCAATTAACCTCCTTCCTGGACCTGTTCCTCCTACACTCCTTTTTTTCTCTCTTCTACCTCTCTCACTCTCCTTAATTGAATCCTCTTCTTCCCTTTTTCCTTCTTAGCTGCTGCCACTGCCTCCTCTTGACCCTGTTCCATGTCGATATTTCTATTTACTTGATGCTGTAATATGAATATGCTGTATCATAATTTATTATAACATGATGTAATGTCAGAAATGCAAGCATATACTGGTACAGAAAATCCTGTTAATATCTGTACTGAATTGTATGTATCACCGCTTCTAAAAAAAAGACTAAACTTTCTAAAGCATATTTTGGGGACGAGTTAAAAATTATGTGTGTTGTCGGTTATATACATTTAGGATTATATTCAGTGAAATTCTGACAAATTTGCATGAACTGTCAAACCAAATGTCACCATATATGCTGGACTGCTATGTTGCTTTTGTAATCTAGTTTACCTGTTCTTGTAGGTGTTGTATCACTTGTTCGAGGGGTACAGCGAGTTGGGAGAAGACAACATTATGTTGGTGGACATTGCCAGTGGTGTTGCATCCTTCCTCTTGGTCGCCCTCGGAGGCACTGTCATTGGCATCATCTGGGGTTTCCTTACTGCCTTTGTAACCAGGTAAGGTCAGGTGGCATAAACGATTCTTCCTCATCCTTCTAATAAGTCACAACTTCACTTTTTTGTGGAGGCAGTGTAACACTGACATTCCAAGGAGGTACGTACTGCTATTCGTATCAGTTTTTGTCGGTATAGTAGCATAGTGGACCCTCGAGTCCCAGGAGGTTCTACCATCATCAGCTGGGTGTCCTCAGCACCCTCGATACCAGGTGAAGTTGATAACTGTTACAGTTTCTCATTGTACTTTTCATCTGTTGTAGTTTTATAAACATGATGATCTGTCCCAAGCTTTCCTCAGTGCCTTCATCAACAGGTAACTCGAGCAACCTGGTGACTTTATAGTTCTGATGTTTTATTTTTTTTTATTAATATTTGCTACATTTACCACATTAGTATGTACTCGAATCATCTCATGAAATATATATCAGCTATTTCATTTTTAATAAGCATTTTCTGTGTGCAGCTTATTGGCCAGTATATTTTTATAATGTCTCATCATCATTACACTGTTACACTAATTTAACCCATTACTGTTTGTTATGACCACTTGACACTGTTTAACATTATCTGTCCCCACAGGTTTACCAGCCAAGTGCGTGTAATAGAGCCCATCTTTGTGTTCGTCATGTCCTACCTCGCTTATCTTAACGCTGAGATTTTCCATCTGTCTGGAATTTTGTCGTAAGTTCTCCCCTGCCCACTGTCTCTTTGATTACTACACAGTTGTGAATGATAATCTCTCTTAGAAGTTTAGACACATTAAGATTGAAAATATTTTGTATGACCATTTCATCATAATATTTCAATCTTGTTTTCATTTGTATTGCCCTCTGCCCCAATAGGATCACCTTCTGTGGCATTACCATGAAAAACTACGTGGAGCAGAACATATCTACCAAGTCCCACACAACCATCAAATATGCAATGAAGATGTTGGCATCATCCTCAGAAACTGTCATCTTCATGTTCTTGGGAGTTTCCACAGTTCAGAGTAAACACGATTGGAACACCTGGTTTGTGATCTTCACGATCTTCTTCTGCTCTATATACAGAATCCTTGGTGAGTATTTATGGATATTCATATGCTGATGCAGTACTGTAATAAATTTGATGTTTGTTACAAAAAAAATGAGGATGGTTGTAAAGTGCTCATATGATGTACATATCAGTTAAATACGATAATTTTTCAGGTTAACTAACTTTATTGAGATGGCATTTACAATTAAATGAACCATGAATATTTATCAAATATATCCATTATAATTTTTAATATATGAGTACGGTACTGTACATGGTTAAGTTTTTGTTTACCGGGTATGTTAAAAAGTTATTGTTCATTAAAATGTGTTAGGAAATCTTCAACATACAGTGCATTGTACTGCCAGGAGATTCTGTATTACTTGATTAATTTAATCCCTATTAACATTAACCTCCTTCTCCCCAGGTGTATGGATTTTCAGTACTATGTGTAATCGATTCCGTGTGAAGAAAATTGCCTTTGTGGACAAGTTTATCATGTCGTATGGTGGGTTAAGAGGTGCTGTAGCCTTTGCACTGGTGCTGACCATCAACAGTCACCACATCCCCCTGCAGCCCATGTTCCTCACTGCCACAATTGCCATGGTGTACTTCACTGTCTTTATCCAAGTAAGAGTCTTGGGTTACTTCCTCTCTAATGTTATACTGCACTGTTGTCTCACATCTAATGTCCTAACCCCTTCACTAAGGGGATGCCTCTTTTAACATTTTATTCGGCTAGCACCAGACGATTTTCTTCAGCTCTGAGAGGAACCTGTATACAGGGGATTAAAGTATGTTCACATTTTTATGTTAGATATTATAAATAAATAAATAAATAAATTTTGATGATTACCACAAGATTATGGTGAAGTTCTGTCTTCCAGAACATACAGTACCTGATGTGCATAATGCATAATTTTTAACTTGACAGTTCTGGGGTCATACAGACTCTTTCTGCATGAAAGAAACCTAGACATTTAATTAATGTTTTTTCAAGAAAATACTGTACAGGTATACATAAAATTTATTTGGAACAGTTAATTAAAGTGTGGGATTACCTATTTTTTGTTGTTATACAAACATTATCATTAGGAATGTAGAGGATAATCAAAGTAAAATTTTCTTTATAGGGTCCAAGTCTCTGAAAAAACTCGGTCATACAAGATGCCCAGGCTCAACACAATCCTACACTGTCTCCATTTCATATTTTCATTCCTTGTTTTCTCACACCAACTTGCAGTTCCCTTACCAGCTGAGTGGTACAGGCATCCTAATTAATTTCTCATGTTAGATGAATTTCCTTTTAATGTAAGGAAAATACAGTTGGATACTTACAGGAGCCAAACCATCATGTAGTACAGTACAGTACAGTATTGTACATGTTGTAAAGTTTGACCCTACTTTGCTATAATCCAGGGAACATATTGGATTGAAAACATCGTTGGACAACAATAATAAAGCATTTAACTTTATCAGCTATACCACTGATTGGCTGTGTGATTGATAGTACATGATAGAGTATTACAGTATATTAACTCTATGATCATGACAAATGCTTTGGCCTTACCTTCAGTAATTAAGAAATTGTTTTCTCCCCACAGGGTATCACAATCAAGCCACTTACTGAACTGCTGGGAGTGAAGAAGGCTGAGAAGCGAACACTCACCATGAATGAGCGACTTCATGAGAGGGTAAGTAACTTAGTACAGTATATCCTTGTTTATATGATATTATGCCAGAATTGTTAACATACAGTATTTTATTTTAGTTTACGTATTTCTATTTCTGATCAGTTTAAGTACTAACCTGGTGCCGCTGTACTTATTAATATAACTCACAGTGAAATGATCACACCATATATTGTTTTCAGTCAATGGATTACATCATAGCAGGCATTGAAGATGTCATGGGCAAGCATGGAAACATTCAAATCAGAAATAAGTAAGTCGGTCCCTGGAAAACTGCTATAGCTCCTTCAGTAAAATTATGATACATGTTACTTTGCCTTGCCAAACACCTCATTATCCATCCTGACTTAACTTTTAATTTGCATTACCTTACATCTTAAGATTGAAAAAAAAAATTATAGTAAAACAATTTAACAACAAATTTATCTCAGGTTCAAGCGGTTCAACAACAAATACCTGAATCCCTTCCTGGTTCGTGAGAAGAACGTTGTCGAGCCTAAGTTCCTGGAAACCTACAGCCAAATCAAGATGCAAGAGGCTATGAATTACATGGCCACTAATGGCAATTCACCCAGCAACATCGAATCATTCACCACTTTACTGAGAAATGCCACCACTCATCCACAGTAAGTCTCTCATCATATATTATAGGTGCTGTATGAGAAAGTTGCTGACACTTAAATGAATTTTCTAACCCTTAATGATTGATTCATCTGATTTCATAATGCTAAGGATGAATGAGTAATGCCTAGTGAAGGAAGTGTGTGTAAACGAACTTGATTCTGTATACATGTAGCAGGACAAGGAAAATGTTCAAGTGAAAAATAAATCATGCTTTATCTTTACCCGGTACTTAAAAATTTTTATAAATAAAACTAAGACAATAATTAATCTCTTATTACAGTTCACTTCTTTTTTGACATTTTTATTATTTAAGACAAGGATTTGTTTTATTTTATTTATTTTTGCATGACTGAGTTTCAGCTGCGATAACAAACCTGACAAGTGCTCTACTGTACTCTACTGAATACCAATAGCTATGTATACAGTACGTATATGTGTAAATATTCAGTAGGGATTTTGTCTCGCTAAATTATATATCTTATTATTTCATTCTCTCAAGAAACCACCAAGGGGAGTGGAACCTTGATGTTGGAGAGCTGCAGTACAACCCCACTGTGAGAGACATGAATGATGCCAAATTCCACCATCTCCTTTCGAATGACTACAAACCTGTAAAGCGGGTGAGTGTTAGCTCCTGGGAAGTGCAAGCCATCTTTTTCTTTCTTTTCTTTTATCCTCTTCACCACTGATCGGCTCGTGAGCCGCTTGGGTGATCGGTCACGTCTCTTGAAGATACATACGGTATATTCTTGTAATAAATGTCTTTCACCAATAAAAGTTCCTGCTGATCTCTCTCATTAACATTTAAAACAGTACAGTATACAATACTGTACTGAAATGAGATATGCAGCAGTTGTTGAAATGTCACTATCAATCCAGTTTCTTACTTGTTTTGAAGTATCTGTGAGATTTCAAGATATTTGTTTTCAAAGATATAATTGCATTCGTTATTGGGTAATCTTGGTCAAATTACCTTAGTGTTTACCAAATTTATTTACCTGCATTATCTAGACACATGAGTAGGGTGTGGTATACTTTACTCCCACGGCCTACACGTGTCATAGTAATGTACTGTACCTGCACTGTTTATATTTATGCAGAACTGTTTAACTGCATACAGCAGTTTCTATACATGCTTATCAAATTGTAATCCTGCACGACATGTTATTGAATAAATATTATTATTATTATTATTATTATTATTATTATTATTATTACTATTACTATACAGTAGTTCAACTAGATGGTTGATAACATACTAATGATGAACTTCCCCCAGCACCGTGGTTCAACTTACAAGCGTCATGCAGTGAAGGAAGACGATATACAGACACACACAGATGTCACCCACCAGAACATGTACCTCCACACACGCCAGTTTGTTAGTAACACCTGGAAGAATAACAAAAAGACCCAAAAACCAGTAAGTTGAAAATACTAAATTGCATACAGTATATATTTGTACAGTACAGTGTATATTTATAAGTAATAATGTATATTGAGCATTTTGTGATGGGGAATTAAAGCAGTTCCTTATCATAAAGATAATTTTTATTTTTATTTTTTCATCATGTGTAAATGCTGGGGTGCTTTTGTATAGTGTATTTTGATTTTTGAGAAAGAATAGCAAGATCCAAGCACTTTTCAGTTCATTAACATATGCTGTACCATCTATCATAAACACAACCAGCGATGTACAGAATTTTTTGTAAGTTACAGTATATTACAAATCTAATAACCAGTGGTGATTTAGGATTATGACGGAGATCAGCTCAAGCCCGAGCAACTACCAGCCGTACGGTTCTCTGAAATGGTTCAGTTTTTTGACAATCTGGAGAGCATCATCCAGGTAACCATAATGGGAGCAGTATATGCCAGGGTACACCTCTTGTTTTTACTATTATAATTCATAACACAACCCAGAGGCCTGCAACATAGCCGGTAACCCATCAGTTATGTTTTATAATAGTAAAATGTTGCTGGAACCCTTGCCATTAAGTTCCCATTGAGTTGTGCATCAAGTCTTGTGTGACATTTGTACTACCTGACTCTTAGCATACAGAGACATTAATTGTGTTGTGGTTTGCTTTAGTACTAGATATAATAACTTTGCAGTATGGCATCATTTACCACATAATTCTGCCAACTGGGTATACATTCTAACTATCAAACCGACAAATGCATGATGACCAGTGAATGTGTTTTGTGTTTATTTTCTTCGTGTATCTATGCAAACAATATTCTATTTTTTACAGATTGAACAAGCAAACAATACTGCATAAACAAATCTTTTCAAAACCTTTACAGTATATACAGTATATGTTATACTGTACATATCTATATAGTATTTATAAATACAGTATAGATTTGATGTTTGTGTCACAATTCTATAGTAAAGGAACATGCGAGTGATTCTAACCATAATAATTCTCACAGAAATATAGCATGATGTGTTAATTCCACAGATTAATTTTCTTCCACATATGGGTGCATCAGTTTGCATGATAGTAGGGACATATGGATTAGAATTAACTTTTCATAAGCACTGTAAAACAAAAAGTGTTTTCCTTAGAGCATGTGGAAGGTATTGTACTGTAGCTTGTTGTTAACTCTTACCGTTATGATGGTGCATGAGCTACTAGTATAACAATTATCACTTATGGTTGTAGACGAGTTGGTGATGGGATTATGAGTCTAATGAAGTGTATTGTTGTGCTGTAGTGAGAAGGAGTACAGTACTGTATTGTATAGTGAGGAGCCCTTCCCACCTGTTGTATATATGATTCATTACTTGTAAATAACTCTGTCATATACAGTACACTAAATCTAGTACCTGTACTATATACCGGTAATGCATATTAATAACCCTCAACCCAAAATGATAAGTTTTCTTCACTTTTATGATTACTTTCCTCTCTCCTTATTTATAGATGCCAAAAATCTATTCATGCACACTTTATAGATCTGGTTTAGACCATAGTCGTTTATTGTTTGTGAAAATTAACATTCTTCACGTCAACAGTTTGATTTGCCACAGGCTCTTATTGCAATGGTGGTTGGGGCATATTTCTATTGTGAAACTAAAGTCATAAGTATTATGACTGCATATTTTCTAATGCATGACTTTCATAATATCTCCAGCGTAGAAGAAAATGCACGTTGGCATTGGAAACCTTTAAGTTACTAAATTGTAAATACTTTCTTTATAAAGGTCACCATCACTTGTAACAAGGTGGTAATGTAGTATAAAGGTGGGAAGTAGTATGTTTAAAATCCAACCCCCAAACAACAGATAAGTTTTGAGGTGTCAGTTCTGTGCTCTGAGGTCAGACCATTATTCTAATCTTAAATAAGTTTTTATTTGACCTAGTTCAGATATTAATTGATTTTGAATTCTGCAGACAGAGAATGGTGTTGTGAAGCAGAACAAGGGTCTAGAGGACACCCACTCATCCTTCCAGAAGAACGGATCAGCAATAAAACTTAAAAGTGGTGAGTCTTGGCTTTGTAAAAATGTCACTTGCTGGTACAGTAGTTACACATTGCACGCCGTGTTATTTTCTTAGGAGTCAATAAGTCCTTGATATGGTCATGTCATGTGTATTGATAAATATTGATAAATGACAAATTTAAACAAATTTCATGTGAAACTATATACTGTACAGTACAATGCATATACTGTACATAAATATGTGCCTGGCTCATAATATTTGCTCAGGCTAAGAAATTTAATTGAGTACAGTATACATCTGACTTAATGTTACATATTATCACTGAAAAGTATTATGGTCATATCACTAAAGGAACTTTGAGACTTTATCTCCCACACAGCAATGTAGTTCACTTAGTTCTGCAAATAACAGTCACTTAACTCCCTGAGTTTGAGATGAATGTAGAATATACTAACTGGTATCTGTCTACCTGAATGTGTTATATATTCTGTAAACAATCCCCCACGGTAACCACCAACTGCACTCATTCACATATGTACCAAGTTTAACTGTTGCCTTAATTTATCTAAAAAAAAAATATTTTCTTGCTGAAGAACTGTTGACCCTCCTGTCTCCTGTAGGCTACTGGTTTTATTGTATGTGTTGCAGTGTCTTTTTTTTTTAGTTTATGGTATACTGTACTGTATGTTTTTTAGTACTGTACAGTACTTTATCTATAACCAAGTTATTGACTGCTGAATAAGCTGGCACTAATACTGCATAAACATTTCTAATTTGTTTAACCTAACAATTTTTATTTATTTTACGAGAAGATGGAATGAGTTTGATTTTTGCATGCCTGTACATGTGATTCTGTTAACCCTGGCAGACTACATGGCCCACGTGTTGCGGGACAACCCTGCCTTTGAAGATGACGATGGCATGATGCCCTACGACTACAACTCTGGTGAGGCACGAAAGGCATTTTATATCTAACAATATTCATTTTCAGTTGTCTTCAAGGCCACCTAATTATGATAACTATAGTTTTTTGTATTCTGTAGTAAATGTGTAAATGAATTAATACTCTATTGTACAGTACTGTATACTGTACAGTAGTTCCTCGCCAACTGCAAGGGTTAGGTTTCTGAAAAATCCCATGGTTTGCAAATCCGCAGTTGGCAAGACTAAAGGCTTCTGGGAAAAGGGGGTTAGGTTCAATGGCTGTAGATAATACTCATCAAAGCCTAACTAAGTTGTGTATTCCCTCACTAAACTATTGTACACTTAATTAAATTTGAGTCAAATACATATAAAATAGCTTAGTATATTTTAAATAGTCATCGAGAGTATACTGTACATGTACACACAATCGTTCATACAGAATGTGTAAAAAAAAAAAGATACCATCATAAGGTCAAAAACGATTATTACTTCCATGGGAGTTAGTGTCAGATCCTGGGAAGGGGAGTGGGAGGAGGGTAAGGTGTCAGGGAGCAGACCTTGGAGGGATAAAGACGCCACAGCAATCCACGGATAGTCGAAATTCAATCCCATGGTTGGTGAAATGGTATATAGTACAGAATAAAAACCGTGGCTACCTGGAATCCAGGGATGGGGAATTCCGTGGTTGGCGAGGGTCTACTGTAATGACATAATAAAATTATTTACTTAAATTATTGATATGGTAGTTTGGGGGGAAGTTGTAAACCTGAAATAGATAGTTTTATATACTGTACGGCATTTACTGGCAACCCAACAAGACATAATGCTGAAAATACAATATTCGTCATACAGCTTCATAACCATTGGTGGGAGCTATACTGTATGTTGTACCTGGAATTATGGTTTTTATGTTTAGTTTGAATATTTTTATGTGAAGCATGTATAGTGCACAAATAGAAAGTGTTAATTGTCATCTACTGTTGATTTGGGTAACTAAACCAATTTCCCAATTCCTGCCCAGGATATCAGTTTTCCTGTCAGATTTCTCACCTCCCACATCATTGTAAAGAAACTGTTCTCATTGAATTTCCAACTTAGGACATTTTTATAATGATGCTTCTCATTATTTTTTTTTCCAATCCCATCCCTCAAAAGAATATTAATGATAAATAAATAAAATTGAGCTAAACACAATTTTTTTTACATTCATTATGAGTTAATGGGTTAATTGTTAAATGTCTATTGGTTAAAAAGTTAATAATTCGATTATTTCTCAAAGGTCTTATACCGGTATGTAATTATCTTAAAAAAAAATAGAAGGTCAAAGATGCCATTGACCAATTGAGTCACAATTACTTATTCCCTGTACAGATGATGCACCAATCTTCATCAAGCGAAAATCAACACGAGGCCCTACCATGGCAGAGACGGCATTACCATGGAAAAGATACTCAGATGGTATGTGTTGAACTGGTATTTTCTGGTCATACAGTATGTGTTTGAATTGTTCTAGTGGAAAATCCTTTGCAGAACTCTAACAGGCCATATATATAATTATATGTTTGATAATCAACAATTTCCAGCTGTATTTATTAGAGATATTACTTATGTTTCATGTACAATATAATATTTTGAACAAGGGTAGACAACATCTTCAGTAATCGTATAAAGACTAGTCTAAACATTATTGTCAAAAGTCTGATAAGAGTTATACATTGTACCGGTAATTAAGAACTGTACCTGTGTAGTAAATTGTTCCTGAACAATATCATGTTTGAATTATCATAAATTTTTAAGTGTCGAAGTTTTTTTTTAATTGAAAAAACAAAAAAAAAGAACATCTATGATATGATTTTTCCTTGAGTTAGACTATGTAGTCAGTCTTTAATACAGTACTGTACTGTATTACATATCATATACTATAATGAATCATGTTTATTATACTTTAGTGTGCTGCTGGACAACACTGTCCCACTGTCTGTTATTTTTTATCTTAATACAGAATATATATTTTCCTTTCCTGTAGGCTTAAAGTTAATGGAGGTTTTCATGTGTTTATATTTACAGATGATGTTCCTACATCTGCACGGAAAGTGCAACGATCAATGAGCATCGCACCAGATGAAGGTATGTAAAGTTAAACATTAAATGCTTGGAGTCCACTATCGGATTCGTTGTTTGTAATCTACACTACCACTTGACATGAAAAGATTGGGTGTTAGTGCTGCTCTTGACTGATGTGTGCATGTCCTCCGAGATGAATGAGACATTTTTGTGTGAACAAGACTTGTACTGTGTATAGAGAGATAGCAATTCTTGGTTTAGGGAACTTCTGTTTGTTTTTTAAGTTGAGGAGTTGACTGATGAATTGGTTAAAAGAGTAAACAAGGCTGTTGCAGATCATCAGGAAAAGAGATACTCAAGAGACGAAAATAGATGAAACTGGATTCTTGTTCGTTGCCAAACTAGAGCAAGCTGGGAAAAAGATCCTCGCTAAGACTGAAGAAGTAGCCGATAGGATAGAGGGAGTAGTTAAGAAGAGCTATGCTCGTGTTGCAGCAGGGTCTTCCAGCAACCAGGGACTCTGCAGAAGAATGTTGAAAAGATTACAACTACTATAGGCCTCCTGATATGGGAGAGGAGGAACACCAGGAATGACTCAAATGCAGGAACAATATAATTGTGTTTGGAGTACCTGAGAGTCAGTTGGAGGAGGCTGAAAGAAGGACAATGCATGATTAGATGGAGTTTCAGAATATTTGTGCAGAGGCTCTGAACCTGTCGACTCCCCTTGTGATGTGAGGAGGCAAGGACAAAGGCAGAGGAATAATCCCTGCCCCCTCAGGATCACACTAGAGAATTTGGGGGCATATTCATAAACCCAAATCACACGGTAATGCAGAGGGAATGGAACAAGAACTCCTGAAGTGCATGAAACAGAAGTGGGAGGAATGGATGGAAAAACAGAGACGGGTGTGGATGGGTTATATACAAGGGGAAAGTGGAGGCAAGTGTACCAGTACAGAACCAGGGGACAGCAAGACACACTGCACCCACATGACCTCCCACCCAGGTGGAGGTGAGCATCATGTAAACAATGTCATCTCTAGCCACACCCCACAAAATACAGTGAGTTTAGTAAACGAGACAGCTGCTGAGAATGGTGGGATACCTGAGTCACCACCAAGATAGAGACTTACTGAGGACACTTTTCCTTGATAAGAGTTTGAAACTTTACTCAAGACATATCAACCTGATGCAGTAGGTGTTGTAGAACAGTTGTACAAGAACAGGAGAATCGAACCGGAGGAATGCGAGTCCAATATACTGAAGATGAATTTGACTCATTTACGAACCTTTCTCAAGCAACTTGCAAAAGGGGTGTGGTTATCTATGCTATGCAAGACCTTAAAGCCAGCCAGGTGAGGTTGCAGGGGGAGGATGATTTTGAAGAATCAAAGTGGTGTAAAATTAAGCCAATGGGGAGAGACTTGCTCCTTGTTGGATGTATCTACAGATCCCCAAAATGTAGCTTATTAAACCAAAGGAACTTAAGAGTCTTAATTGACAATTCAAACTGTGAGGGCAAACTTTTTCGGAGTGAGAATTGTGAACTCTTAGAACAACCTGCCAGAGAGTGTTGTGACGGCACCGAGTGTGAGTTCTTTCAAGACCAGACTTGGCCAACACTGGAGCAGGTTTAGATACATTCAGGAGCCAGTGCGTGCCCAGTACAGTACAGTACTTGCCAACAGTTCGTAACATGACCGACCGCCCAAGCGCCTAATGAGCTGATCAGTGGCGAAGAGGATAAAAGTAAAAAGTAAAAGTAGCGGCACTCAGCCATTGTCACCTCCTTGTCTTGGGAGTTTTTAACTATGGCAACATTGACTGTAGAAATGAAACCACGCCAAATGACCTTAACAGTCCTGCTACTCTTTTTGTATAAAAAGAGACAATTTTCTATTCCAACATATTAAAGATCCGACTCACTACAGAGGAGAACAAACACCGAAACCGCTGGACCCTCATCATAATTAATGAGGAGGGTATGGTGGCCAAGTTGGAGCAACTAGCCTTCATCAGTATCAGTCACCACATAATGTTGTCCTTCAGATTTAACTGTTACTTGGTTCATGATAAAAGCAGGCCAAGGTTCAAATATTACATGGGCGATTAAGACGGGATGAGGGAGTAGATGAGGAGTATTCACTGGCCTGACTCGCTGAGATACAAAAATGCAGACACTATGCTGAATATCATAGCCAGTAAAGTGAACTATCTGTATTTGATTGATAAATATATACCTAAGACTACCTCATGGTTGAAGAAACCACAGGTCTAGGAAATTGTCAGGGCAAACCCTTTCAGAGTGAGAATTGTGAACTCTTGGAACAGTGCTGGAGTGTGTTGTGACGGCACCAAGTGTGAACTCTTTCAAGACCAGACTTGACCAACACTGGAGCAGGTACAGACACATTCTGGAGCCAGTATTTGCCAACAATGTGTAACGGTGATGTGACCGACCACCCAAGTGGCTAACAAGCCGATCAATGGCAAAGATGATAAATGTAAAAGATGAGAACTTTCATTTGTTAGCTGTAGTCAAGACTCTTCACATTTTTTAATGAACTTGAGATACCGTACTTCAATTCATTGCTGTACCCCTTAGTACAGTGCAGTATAGACTTAGCCAATAAGCCTTAATGGTTTACATTAATTACTCTATACAAATATTTCCTGCCTCATGTCCTCCTGCTTTCAAATGAGCATCAAAATGCATCATAAAGCTTCTTAAAGTTCTTGAAATACTGTAAGTGTGTGAAAGTTTGTTTCAAGAATCCATATTCAAGAGTTCTCTTAAAAAGACTGTTTCATGTCAGTAGAAAGTATCAAAAATTCAATACAAATGCAGTATAGTAAGAATACCATTTTGGTGAAAAATCACATCCAAAAACAAAATTAAAATTCACAGTACTTATTTACAGTGTACAGTGCATACTTACACTGTAGCAGATGAATTTTGAGATTAATGTTGCAGGCGAATCTTGATGAATCTTGAGTTGGAGGACAAAGGGGGGCCGCTTAAACTTACTTTACTGCATTGTAGTTTCTCTTATATTTATGTTTACAGTTAGTACACTTAAAACTAGCATTTATTTCTTGGTTTAATCACTGCCAGAATCGAGTATGCGAGGTAACTGATTGGGGGTTACCACCAATTCTGACTCTCAGGTGTAGGGTGAGTGATGGCAGACCCACAGACCCTAGTCCGACTAATGGAGGTGTCCAACTTATGGAAGTCCGACTTAGGGGGAGGTCTTACTGTAACAACGAGACATTCATGGCATCTGAGAATAGAGAATTAGATTGGAAGAAATGGTTGGGTTGTATGAGGCAGGAAAGGCTTAACCATATATTTTAGGAGCACATTTATGGAGGATAAGGGAATTTGAGGCACTGGCAGACAAGTACAGTAAAAGGTATGTGTCGCACAGTGAAGAATGTTAGGAGTCAGAGTGGGAATTTGTAGGTACAATAAGAAGAATCTTTTTAAAAAGAATCAATCAGCATACTCTCTTGAAAGTGAAACATGGCAGTGTAACAGGAAAGTGAAACCGAATACAGTCTACAGTAGTGAATTTCTTACAACTTAGAGGTGGCTTAGTAAACAAAATAGGAGTATAGAATGTTAGTGTGAGAGGGTGATAAAATGGAGTTACTGTACAGTATTTAAATTTAGATGATACAAATATTGACATAAGAAAGTGATGGATACAAGTGGAGCTGAAGGCGAATTGGAAAACAGAAACCAAGGTTAATTTGGATGATAAAATGAGGTGAGTTTTACAATCTGAAGTGTATATAATTGTTCATAGGTAACTGAATCTTTTTGAACCATCCTACTCAATAGTGAGAAACAGAGTACAGTTTTAGTATAGATAATGTTTGCTCTTCAATATTTTGTTTGGTTTGCTTCATGTTTTGTGACATACAACCAATGTTTCCTTCTTTAGAGAGTGCCACACCCACGATGGCTGAGGTTATGCTCCCTTGGAAGCGACCAGAAGACGAGGAGGTATGCGACCGACCTCTCAAACAATCAGAATTCCCTGCCTGGGCATCCAATAAGGAATATGTGTGCTACAACTCTCCTTCCAATACTTTCCTTGGTAATTTACTCTTATTTTCAAAAGTTCATTTTGTTTAGCCTTTTCCCATTTAATTCAGGATAGTTGGAATCTTGAACAAATAATGTACACTCACACACATTTTCTAATCATTTATTATAGTTTACATTCATTCATATTTGTTTCAATGATGTATTCTGCTATAATACTGCCCTTTAACATATACATATGTTTAGATTGAGTTCATTAAAAGTTTTATAATTATCTTGCCCTAATAACATTGCTTTCCTTCCACAGGTGGCTTAGGAAAACATGAATCGTACCCTAATGTCCGTGAAATATTTGGGAGACGTGCCAGCAGCACGTCCCTATCCTCCCGCCGTGGTTCCTTAAAGGAGCACCCCATGGCCCTAAAGGAAAAGTCTTCTTCACGTAGTTCTCTTAAAGAAAGGGTTCCATCACGCGGTTCCCTTAAAGAGAGAACCCCTTCACGTGGTTCTATAAATGAACCTGCCTCCCCTATAAATCACCAGGACATACTGATGAATGTGCGTCGACATTCAACCACAGGAGAAAATTCACTGTTAAATACCATCATTGCAGAGGAGGAAGGACGGCGTTGTGACACAGTTATTGAGATAAATCAAAATGGAGGTCGGGAGCAGACACGAATGTAGCATGACCCTTTGTAGGTATATAAAAATTTTATTTTAAATGTGCATAATTAATGAATTTTTAAAAAAAAATTATTTAGTGTTAGTAATGTACATTGTCTGAATTTCTTTTATGTAACTCATTTCATAAAAGTGAGCTAATTGCTGCAGTGTTCAGTGGAAAAACCTTTACTCTTTTAGAATACTGTTATTTGTAGTACACATGGTGTGCATAGTCATTATTTTGTATACATTTCTTCTGGAAAGTGTATCCAATCAAAAATTCTATATCCTCAGACAAATTTCAAGTGCTGCACAGAACTTTTGACTAAAACCTTAAATGCTTTCTGTAGTGTCTATAATTAGGACCAATAGTTCAGAGACATTTGATGACAGATTCCTGAGAAAATTGTGATGCATATGGAGTAGTACATTTAAAGCCACCCATCCACCCCTGGAATTAACTGCAAATTAAAAAAAATTCTGTTCATATTTTATTAATTGCTTGCTGTCCTTTTAACAAAGAAGTGAGAAAGATTTTACTTTCCTGTAATATCTTGTGTTTTAAATATTCTTATCCTTGTCTATGAACAGAATTGATATTATTTGAAGATATTTCCTGGTGGCATATCTCATTCTATATTTTACCTACCTAAGCTATGAGTGTTGTCATGCTTGTTGACAAGTGTCTGGGCTGTATGATGGCAATTATGGTGTAATTTTCTTTGATATTTAAAGTAGCATCGCATTACTGTACTATTTTGAATGAAGGTATTACAAAATTACTATACTGTACTCTATTCCTCTGCTTTAGATGGGGAAAAAGATGAAGTTGTAATGATAGTGATTTTTCTAACTGTACTACATAACACAGAGTTATGTGAGTGAAGTCTTAACTATGTTTAAAATAATTGGTATTTACTGACTGAGGTGTGTTGTTTAAGAAGCTGCAGGAGACCCATTGGTAAAACTCATAATTCATTAGAAACTTGTGATACTTGTCTGTTGATGACAGCTTTTTTCAGGTTTTATGCATCAACTATACAGCTAATTTTCCAAAAGTCAATGAAATGATTTTAAAACTTATAAGTGTAGGATGTAAGACATTTAATTTTATTAATTACCTGCTAGGTACATGTACTGTATATAAGAGATCAGTGAATAAGATAAGAATTTAACCTTTGCTGAATACCGGGGTATATAAAATATTATACTCATATTACATTGGTTTGTTATATTGCCTATAATGTTTAAACAACGATTGATTTTTAAGATACTGTCTTGTACAGTACTTTTTAAAAATCTTCTGTTGCTTTGTTTTAAGATTACCAATTTTGAATAGCAGTTTGTTATATTAAGCTCAAGTTATTCCTTGAAAAACTTTTGTGACAACAATAAACTCTGGTGTATCAGTAGCTTAAACATGCTTCTGTGACATTGTGGTAATCACAATGAAGTAAGTCATTCTTTATGGACCATTCTATATCCTACAAGTATTTGTGTATGATGGTGACCTTGTGAGCAAAGAAAAGTTTGCTAGTCTTAGGTGATTTTAATAATATACAGTACCAAATTTTTTGTTTACTAATATTTCAGTTAAAGTATACTATACAGCTCCTCCCCGACTTACAACGGGGTTAGGGACCCAAATCCAGGTTGTAAGTCGAAAATGCTTAAATAATACATAGAAAATCTAAAATGGGTGTCTCTGTTTCTTCTCAGCACCACAAAACTCACTTTTAAGCTTGCCAGCCATTTTAAAGTGAATTACAAACGAAAATTTTGTCAGTACACAGTGCAATCACTGACGTTGGGACTCGAAAATACGTAATTTGACAAAATTTTGGTACGACTGAGGCAGGTCGTACGTCGGGGAGGAGCTGTATATGTATGTTCAACTATAGTCTTTTCATTATTAAAATGTCAAATAGCTCTGAACTCTTTATTTTGTCTTGGCTTGTGATTGCTCAGTTAGAAAACAATTAATGAAGTGCTGTAGATTGCCAAAAATTTTCTTCCGTGGAGGTTACGGTTTTATTTCCACAATGAGCAAACTACAGAATGGATGAATAGCAGTGAATAATGGAGTGTGTGTGCTGCTCTTCATTCTGGCTACCCGGTATACTGACCACATGTATATAGAAAACTCATAATGTCTCACATGGTCACCCTGTACCTTAGACGGAAAGGGCTGGCAATGGCTGGAAAAAATGCAATATTCCAGGATATCTGTAATGTATTCATATATTAAATGCATAGAAACACACTATCAGTAGACATTCCATCACATGAAGTGCTTTGTCTCATGTTCATTAAGTTTACCCTGATAACATACTTTGTGTTTATAGATATTGTTACAGTTTCCATTTAGGGAAAACAGTAAAGATACTGGACATGTAGTTACAGGTACTGCTGTATAAAGTGAATATACCTCAGTCCATGAAAGAACAAGGATTCACCAATGAATAACTGGTAAGTGTAAGAAAATTATTGTAACGAGTAATCAGAATATGTTACCTGTATTATGTAACATGATATAGGAAATATATACAGTAGTATAGCAGTATGAACTAATTTTGTGTGGCGTCTGTAAGTGAAAATAATATGTTATTCAATACTTGATTACATAACACGTTGTTACATTAGAATAAGATGTAGATATAAACTCCGTATGATGCAGCCAAAACAAGGATGTAATAGCCTCTCATTTTTTTTCTCAAATTTTTTATGGTATAGTTGTGCTCATGTCTTAGGATCTCATAAAGGGAACTTAGTTTTCAGCAAGTGCCTTTGATTGTTATTTTGTCAGGTAATTCACTTTTCTTCATAGTTTGGGTTACATTACTTAAATATTACAGTAATTTGCATCTAATTATCTTAGTTATAACATTTAATTTATTAGTGCGTAGCTTCTAATTATTAAGATATTCTCGGCATCTAACAAACTCAACAATTTGACTTAGGCTTATTCATTTACTCTGATTATTTATGTTTTACTTTGACATCTCATCAGGGGTAGAGAAATAATTAGTGGCCATGTAAAATAGTTGGTTGAAATTTTCATGGATATTTAGCATCTCAAATTTCAGCTAAATGTCCAGTTTTACATTTTATTATCTTAAATGAGTATAGTGCTCTGTATCCATAACTCTGTGGGCCAGGAACAGTTCTTGGGAACCGGCAGTTGTGGTAGCATAGTATCTGTAGCATTTTTTTCTCAGTGATGTAGTCCCAAGAGAATTATATCAGTAGCAAAGAGGATAAAGTATAGTAAAGTATTATGGATCATTTTTTTTAGTCAATATTTGCAGTTGGAAGAGGTTGTGTAAAGAATTTTATTTGAAAATTTGTTTGAGGAATTCCTTGGAAAGTTGGAGGGATGAAGGCTCACAGTTTCTAAAGTATTCATTTAAATGGATTCCAGGATTGAATCATATTTGAAAAATGTTGATGTTCGTTATTACAGTATAGAAGGAATAGGTACCAAGAACAAGTGTTCAAGACAAATTTTCATATTTAAGTGACTAATGTGCCACCCAGTACAGTACAGTATATGGGAAATGTACATACATGTTACCTCTTGTATTTACACCCTCCATATGACATTCACTTAGTTACACTCAAGCTTAAAAAGTTACATCTCTGGACTAGTTGCCTTCCTCTTTAAAATGAATACTGTGATTGAGAGATACAGGTACAGTGCTTATAAATATTTCCAGGTTAATTTTATTGCCCCGGCTCCTTAGAGATCTACTTATTGACAGTCTGTGTTGGCCAGCTTGTTTATTGTGTTTCTTTTGATCTGCATCAGGCCTCCAAGTACAGTACATAACTTTATACTGACTTAGCACTTGTGTGTAAATGCTTTGGTGCTGACTAATGTAAAACTGTAACTAGTGTTGTTGATATATTTTTTTAGTGAAGTCTGATCATGTATTTGATTAAAATTTTATTTTAGTGTAAATTTTGTACATAGGTATACGAGTTGAACTATTTATAAATTGAAATTTTAATGCTATCCAGTGAATATGTTGTGTATTCTATATTAAAAAAAAAATTATATATAAATATATATATATATATATATATATATATATATATATATATATATATATATATATATATATATATATATATATATATATATATATATATATATATATATATATATATTGAGAGGAGAAGTACTTGTAAGCTGTGGATTTATTTATAATTGCAGTAGTAATACATAAGAGAATGCTTAAATGATTATGTAAGAACAGTTGTGTACTGTTGATAGTTGCCATAATCCAAGTCTGTATAAATGTATACTATTGTACACAATGCAATAACAACAATTCCTACTATAAGACATGTGCACTTTGACAGCTAGGAAGGTTAATTTTTACAATAAAATTTTCTCATGATTCATGTTCCAAGAGGCTATTAATGTCCTGTGAGGCCTCTAGTTCAGTACTACCAGCAATAGACTTAGTGTTGAAACTTTCTTCTTAAAGTTTTCCCTCACTTATAAGGCAAACTGAAAATGCATAGAGGTCCTTATTTTTCATGTACAACATATTTTAGGGATAATGTCTACCGGTAGTTCATATTAAAGCCAAACCTGATACTTATAAAGGTGGTACCCATGTGTCTTGTATAGTGAATCCAAGCAATCAGTTTGAATGGTTGTGATGATATGCGATGCCCGATCGACTACCCTAACTTGTAACCTTCCCGTCAAGCTCATAACTATGCACCGGTTAATGATTACAGGGAATTGGCAAAACAATCTGGCAATATGGGTTAAGAGATGAAAAGGGCTGGGTTCCTTTCCTCTATTTCCCAATATTCACCTCATTTACGGTATGCTAACCCCATCTCACCACACAAATAGTACCTAATATCTTTCCATTTTACTAAAGCTCTTCATATACGACTCCAAAGTGCCCAGCATTTCCATACTTTTCCTTTCTGATAATTTTTCCCTATTTTGCTGTGTGCCCTATTTGAACCCAGCTTCTGTTTTACCCTGGCTCCCCCTATTTCACCGTAGGTCCCTCTCTTGTACTCCAGCTCTCCTATTTATGTCCGCTCACTTTCATTTAACCCAGTAACCCCAATTTAACCTTGTCATCTAATTGCATTCCAGCTCTCCTTATTTCCCACACCCCATTTTAACTGTGTTGCCTTTTATTACTCCAGCTCCCTATTTTATTCTCTTGGTATTGTCCCGTTTTACCCCAGCTCCCCATTTGACTCTATTGCCCCGTTTTACCCCAGCTCACCCTGTTTAACCCGAGCCTAAATATACTCGTTGTGATAATGTTGCCACAGTGCATTATGGGAGTCTATTTTTATATGACTGTAAATAGCAAATAAATGTTAAGAAATTATAAAAATATTTTGTAGTATCCTTTTTTATAGCAAAGATATTCACTGTATTGGGAGATTGTCATGGGCTGCGTTGGGCCTACCCCGCACAACCCAACCCCAAATGTTCGTTTACGGTAAATAAGAGACCAGGTGAGCCGTGACTCCGTCATCACTATTCCATTAATGGGTATGTGAGCTAGTCTATGGGAGGCGAGGTGATTGAGACTGGTGTATTGTTCATCGTGTCTCGTGCCCAAATCCACATTTTAGTCAGTGGGCCCTAGACCTTGGGTTAGTAAAGACCTCCTGCTTCGTAGACTTAAGAACAGGGGTCATACAGTCCTACCAGTGCTACGCGTCTGTGTGTGCAAATCTCCAAGATTGCTGTTAAGTCTAGCGACAAGTTAATATATCCAGCAAAGAAAGTGGTCACTGGTGAAGGCCTGTTTGTTACAGTACCATCTATCTGTAATACTAACTTCCTGATATGCTAAATTAAACCAAAGACAACAAGACTGCCATCGTATTTACACAGGACCAGATTCTCACATATTCATCAGCATACTGTACTGCTTTCTTGAGTGAGTAAATACTGAATATGTTTATTAGTGAGCAAAGAAGGTTTTTACTAATCACCTGTTAGGAAGGTTGAGTTGCTAAAGAACGAACATACAGAGAGCTTTATTCCTCTTAATCTTTAAGTGTAATTACTAAACCTTCTTACGCACTTAGAAGATTTTAGTCGTCCAAGTTCAAATAACATCATCATACCGGCGAACAAACAAATCTTACCAATTATTCGATATGATTCGCTCCCAACAGAAACCAAATCTTTGAAGAAAAGAATTTGAAGCCTTTTAATCCGAACTTTACGTATTCTATTGAATTTAGGAGTTTCAGAGGATCCAAGCCAAAGAATATCCAATACTGTACCTAAATTCAGGCTTTCCAGGCTAAAATGTAAAGATGTATTCATTCTACACTATCAAATGCTTTATAAATCTCGAACAATTATCTAGATTAACACTAATATTCGTTTTAACAATTTGAGAAGCAGTCAATGAATTGTTTCAGAGCTCTTGATTGTTTCATTTCCAAGATTCAAAACGCCAGTGACGTCACTAGAATGACCCCGAGCCACCAATTGTTGTTAGTTGCTTGTCAGACGTGGCGGAGGAAGGATCGATTTTATTTACTCCGTGGTGAGATTAGAAGACTACGCCTTCGGTAAGCATAAATTTAATTGATTGGTTGTCATTATGTATTGATCAATATTAGGTATGATCTATATATATATGTAATCGAAAACGTATGACAGGCAAGTGTTTGTCGGGGCGTGGAGTGCCAGTGTTGTCATTGATACCTGGGCTTGTTTAGACTTTAAATTATTTTACCTTGGACTTTAAGGACTTAACTATCCAGAAAGGCACGTTGATGGCGAGTGGTGTAGGAAGACAGTTTTATGTAACATTATTTGCCTTAATTCCCCAAAACATGTTTATAATATTTGAGTAAAATTATAACGATCTACGAGTTGTTCACGAAGTTGGCGGTGACGTTGTGAGTCCTTAACTTGGTAAACTTGTCTGCCGTCACCTATAACTCCTCAATGAAATACCAAAAGTGCAGCTTCTAAATATTTTTTTTCTTTTCAACCTTCGAATTCACATTGTGTTCGAATTTATTCCAGGTTGGTGAAAATCTGATGAAAAATAAACATTGGTGTATCATGTGCAGAAGTAGCGCCACTAAACTAGCAGTTTCAGAGTTACTTTATAGATAATTTCTTATTGTACTTGGTGTGAACCGTTCGGTGTCAGAAAAGCAAAATAATATTTTCAGTAAATAGATCACCGTCTCCTCATGCTCTGACGCATAAAAAGCGTTTGATAATAGCAGGAAATACCAAATTTTGACAATTATTTGTGGTGGTCCGTTTTCACCCAAATAACGTTGTTTGCCAGTCAAACACGTGAAGGTAGTGACCAGCTTGCTGTTAGCCGCCGTAGTAGAAACCTTTATGGGGGAAGAAAATTTGAAATAGCTATTTACTATTCCTGTACTCGATCTGAAAATATTACAGTACATTCAGTATTAATTAATACCCAGAAAAACTCTGTCCGTTTTGGGGATTTTCATTGAAACGTTTACTTTGAATCATAGAAGGGCCAAAGGTATTTGCACCCGATAGTGCAAATAACGAAATCATTATTTCACTCGAACCTCATCATCATGTGTATCGGGTGCAGAGTGAAACTTATCTGCACCAGAGGTGTGTCATTGCGAAATTCGGGTGCAAATTACTGCACCTGTTTACACCCGATGAAAGAAGCGTAAATTTTTGAGTAAAAAAAAACAACAATGAAGTTATTTGTGTCTTTTGGTAATCGTCATTAATGTGAAAATTGAAATCATATATTATATAATTTATTATCGTATACTTTATCTGGTACAGAACCTAACCTTACCGAACTCCCTAGCCGTAACACCCGCCACATTAAACACAATCTAACCAAAGAAACCTACCTAACCTTACTTACCTAATGGTTTGTTTGGGTGAAGCTGTTATCTGCACCCGAGTTTTGTCAGTGCAAAATTCTTATAATATTCAATAATGGTGTTGAAATCTCGGGTTCTAGTAATGGTTTAACTATTTGCACCCTATCCTCGTCATCAAGGGGAACGAAAGTCGGGTGCAAATATTGAAATCGTTATTTGTACTATCTGGTGCAGCTACCCACTTCGTTCATAAAATACAATCTGCAATTTGCTGTCATCTATTACTAGTGGCACAAGAATTTTCCTGCGGATGCTTGCTGTTCCTTCCACTGGCACTTCATTGGCGAAAAAATGCAATGCAGGTTAGATTATTTTGAGTATTCTTTACCAACTTTTATTTCACCTAATTTAAGGCATGGGTGATCTCTAGTTGAGGTCACCTGGGAACAGTCACGTCAGTCCCCAGTAGGAAGGGGTGAGGTCATAGATGACACAAGAATTGATCATGAATATAATGTATTCACTAGTATACTACATAAAGCACAAGAACAAAATATACCATACAGAAAAATTAGGTCAAATAAGAATGAGCCAAGGTGGATGACCAGGAAACTTAAACATGGCATAGGAATAAAGAAAGGAATATATAAGAAATTAAAGGGAGGGGAGGAGCAGCTCAGAAATAGGTATAATGAACTATCTAGGAATGTTAAGAAAAATGTAAGGAAAGGAAAGAGAGACTATGAAATCAAAATAGCAAGAGAATCTAAGGCGAATCCCAAGGGATTTTTCCAGGTATACAGAACAAAGGTCAAGGACAAAGTTGGGCCTTTAAAGTCAGGGAGGGGAGAAGTGATAAATGGCAGTGAAGAAATAAGCAACGCATTGAACAGCTACTTCTTATAAGTTTTCACAGAAGAAATTCGCGAGGAAATTCCAGAGGTGGAACTGATATTTAGGGGAAAGGAAGAAGAGAAATTAATGAATATCAGTATCGGAAAAGAGGATGTTCTTAAGAGGATAAATAAACTAAAGAAGACAAAATCCCCAGGGCCGGATGAAATTTTCTCTCGAGTCTTGAAAGAGTGTAGGGAACAGATTAGCGGACCCCTCGTAAATTTATTTACAAAATCATTACACACGGGAGTTGTGCCAGACTTGTGGAAACAGGCAAATGTAGTACCCATATTCAAAAAGGGAGACAGAGCATCAGCGTCAAATTACCGGCCGATCAGTTTGACGTCAGTAGTGGGGAAAGTTCTTGAATCAATTGTAGCAGATAGCATCCGATCGCATTTAGAGAAAAGCAAATTAATCTACGACTCTCAACATGGGTTTACAAAGGGAAAATCTTGTCTAACAAATCTGCTGACGTTTTTTAGGAAAGTTTTCGAGGTAGTAGATAATGACGAAAATTACGATGCTATTTACTTAGACTTTAGCAAAGCATTTGACAGAGTACTGCATCAGAGGCTTCTGAGAAAAATTAAGGCTCATGGTATCGAGGGGAAAGTTTTAAATTGGATAAAATCATGGCTCACCAATAGAACGCAGAGGGTCAGTGTAGATGGTGTTAAATCTGAGTGGGGCCGTATAACCAGTGGGGTTCCCCAGGGGTCAGTACTAGGCCCACTCTTGTTCATAATCTACATAAACGATCTAGATACTAGGATCAGCAGTGACATTAGCAAGTTGGTGGATGACACCAAAATAGGACGGCAGATTAATTCAGGGCAGGATGCAAATGCATTGCAGGAGGATCTAAATAAACTGCAGGGGTGGTCTGAAAAATGGCAAATGAAATTCAACATCAGCAAGTGCAGCGTACTTAATATTGGAAGAACAAATACTGTCAATGTATACAGCCTTAACAACATCAACCTAGAGAAGTCGACTTGTGAAAGAGACCTAGGGGTACTTGTAAGCCCGGACCTACGGCCTAGAAAACAGTGCGTTAATGTTCGAAATAAGGCAAACAGAGTGTTGGGTTTTATATCTAGAAGTGTAAGTAATAAGAGTGCAGAGGTCTTATTGCAACTATATCTTGCGCTAGTCAGGCCGCACCTCTATTATGCGGTTCAGTTCTGTTGCCCTTATTATAGAATGGATATCAATTCACTAGAGTCGGTGCAGCGAAGAATGACGAAAATGATTCCGGGACTTGGAAACCTTCCATATCGGGATAGGTTCAAGAAACTAAACTTGCATTCCCTAGAAAGACGAAGAGTGCGGGGAGATATGATAGAAGTATTTAAGTGGGTGAAAGGAATCAATAAAGGGGATATAGATAAAGTTCTTATAATATCCGAGCAGGATAGGACTCGAAGCAACAGATTTAAGTTGGATAAGTTTAGGTTTAGGAGGGAGATAGGAAGGAACTGGTTCACAAATAGGGTGGTGGACGAGTGGTACAAGCTTAGCAACTTTGTAGTAAGTGCTGGAAAGTTTCAAAAGGAGAGGATAGATTCTTGGATGATAGAGAGTGGTTGTAACTCTCGACAGGAGCTGCCATGCACAGGCCAACCGGCCTATTGCAGACTCCTTATTTTCTTATGTATAAACAACTATATAAAAGCAAAAAAAAAAACTTGAAGGAAACATCAATATACGCTATACTGTATGTTAAAACAGAAAGAGGATGGAACTAGAAAACGTTAATAGCATTCGTTGACTGCAGGGTGTGATTCACTAGTCTAATAATATTCCCTCTGCCCATAATGATTTCGTAATCCTTCCAGAACGTCTCCTTTGTTTGTCATTACTTTTGTCTCTTATCGACGGCTTCAAGCACGGTAGAGCAGCCCTTCCTCGCTTGCTGCAGGAGATCAACCGCCTCCTTGAGATACTTTGCCTTGATGACTTCGTCGGTGATGTTGTCAAGGTTAATGAGGACGTTGTAGTAGGCACCCCAAGCACCTGCCTCCAGACATCGCGCTCCCACCTGCCCAATACAAGTGTAGTTATTCCTTGTATTGTTATTTGTTTTCGATTTTTATCTCAAGGCAATATAAACACAATAATGTTATACAATATGACTATGTCGGTAAACCTATCACAAGTCATATGGGAAATATTGTAGTATTTATTAATTGAGAGAGGGGTGGATGCAATAGGCTACCCACCTGAATATGATTAGCAACAACGGTGTACATATTGGACAAAATCCCCCCAGTCCTACCTTAACTGAGTCGTAGGAGAGCTGATGAAATTAGATTTTTATGGAGACTTGTCAAATGGTATTTTTCGTAATGTAAATTATTGAGGGCCTTTGTTCGTGCAATGGTCATGCGAGGAAATTTTAAGATATACATTCAGAATAGCAAAAAAATTAAATAAAAAAAGTGAAAATGAGTGATTTGGGTGTTAGTACCTGGAGGTCGGACCTGCAGTTGATGTTACCAACAGCGGCCAGCTGAGTGAAGCAGTCCCATGTATCGGTGTTGACTTTCCTCATAAGGGATAACGGTACCTGAATGGTTTCCTCGGTAGCAATCTTCAGCGCCGCCTCCCGAGAACTCCGTTCCTGATCATTCTTTTGTGGTAGTTTCATGGCTGCCTGTGAGTGTCAGAAATGCGCAGTGTTAGATTGGTTGTCTTTGTGGCTCCTCATTGTGCCAAGCACGATTAGACCAATAAAAGGTGTTTAGCACTGTGAAAGCACTCAACTAAAGTCCATCAGTCGGCTTGAATTTAAACTGAATGTTTCATATATATATATATATATATATATATATATATATATATATATATATATATATATATATATATATATATATATATATATATATATATATATATATATATATATATATATATATATATATATATATATATATATATATATATATATATATATATATATATATATATATATATATATATATATATATATATATATATATATATATATATATATATATATATATATATATATATATATATATATATATATATATATATATATATATATATATATATGCTGATAACCACAAGGAAAGAAGAAAACACGAAGTTCCCAAGCGCTTTCGTGTAATTCACATCTTCAGGGGTGAGTACAGACTAAGGAGAAGTACAAAACAATGGTCAGGTATTAGGTAATGACCCTACTAATTTTCAAAAAGCACCGCAGCAGTCGGTGGTCAGGTCATAGGGTAAGCTGACCCAACCTTCTCACCTGGTTCCAAATCTTCTTAATTACGAAATTATCCAGTTTGTACATACCATTACTCAAATTCATATTGACGGATTCGGTATGTTTAATGAGACTAGATTCTATAATGTTCCTACTGTCAATTGAATTACAAGGTAATATTGAGGAGGCATTATCCCAGTCAATGCAATGCTTATTATCCCTCAAATGAACAAAGCACGTAAAAACATTGATGAAAATACTGACTGTTTGACTATTATGGTGGGCAGAATACAGGTAATAATGAATGTATGAACACACATTAGTAGGTTTCCTTTACTAAATTCCCTAGTTGGCAACATTTCTAACTCTAATATTAAGAATAATATCGATCTGGTTGATAAACTCAATAACTTACACATTAATTATGATTTTAAACTGGTCAGTTTTGATGTAACATCACTCTTCACAATGGTCCCAGTTGATGATTTACTGGAGTTCCTCATAGATTCCCTGGATAATATTTCATTGCCCGTCTCGAAAGACGACTTCATAATAGTCAAACAGTCAGTATTTTCATCAATGTTTTTACGTGCTTTGAGAATTTGCAGCCCGGAATTCATTGATGAGGAATATAAATATATCTATAATATTGGCTTAACCTTAAGTACCCTAGATCTTTCCTAGACAAATGCCTTAACATTACTAAGAAATCTTTCTATAGAACTGATCCCAAGCCCACCCATGACCATAAGAATCTCTTAGTATTACCATTTCACAAAAATTTCTCTCAAATTCCTTTACAACTAAAAACCTGGAACGTCAATGTGGCATTTAAAAACTCATGCACTGTTAAACAAATGTTAATCAAGAACTCCCCTAACAACACAGGTGGCTGCATTTATAAGGTTCCTTGCAAGGAATGTAATATGTTTTACTTAGGCCAGACACGTAAAGATCTTGTAACTAGACTTAAATAACATAAATATAGTGTTAGGACAGGCCAGGAATCCAATGCTATGTTTGTTCATTTGAGGGATAATAAGCATTGCATTCACTGGGATAATGCCTCCTCAATATTAGCTTGTAAAATAATTGACAGTAGGAACATTATAAAATCTAGTCTCATTAAACATACCAAATCCGTCAACATGAATTTGAGCAATGGTATGTACAAACTGGATAATTTCGTAATTAAGAAGATTTGTAACCGGGTGAGAAGGTTGGGTTAGCTTACCCTCTGACCCGACCACCGACTGCTGCGGTGCTTTTTGAAGATTAGTTGGGTCATTACCTAATACCTGACCATTGTGGACCTGATCTCACCCTCCTCTATATATATATATATATATATATATATATATATATATATATATATATATATATATATATATATATATATATATATATATATATATATATAATCATTTGTGTGTTACGAACACAGCCATTTGTATATTATCTTAATGCATATACTGTAGAGTATACCCTTACCATGTAGTTGTTAAAAGCGGCAGTGTCTGCATCGATGGCGGGGATGAGGGAAGTGGCAGTTTGGTGGAGAGGTGGGATGAGTTGCCTCATGGTACTGTCCAGTGCCTCCCACTGACGCTTTCCATAAGTCAGCTGCCCCACCATGGCGCCCAAAGCCGCTCCCTGAGAAAGTTCCAGGGCTATCATTTCTCAAAGGTTTGCACATTTTATTCTCATACGAATTGGGTGTAAGGAAACTAATTAATGAAATGCAGTCTCAGGGTTGTTAAAACGTAATTTATATTGCCACCATTGGAAAAAATAGGCATTAATTAAGGAGATATGAGAATTTTAAAGAATCTTGACTTGCACCAGGAGGCAACAGTGTTAGTAAATTCTACGAATTTACTAATTGGTTCACAGACGGGGCAAGGCAAGGCTGCGTTCTATCCCCAACATTGTATACTATACAGTATATTCAGAAGTAATGAGAGAAGTTATACGTGATAATGAAGGACTAAAAGTTAATGGTAGAGTAATATCAATTACACGCTCTGCAGATAATACTGCTCTTATCACAGATAGTGAAGAGGCATCATAAAACTCGTTGGCAAATTAGTGAAAATGGGGAAAATATGGTTTAAGACTTAATGCTGTAAAGACATGGTTGTTTCCAAATTGGAAATAATTCACAAAATAAAAATTATGGTAGGCAACTGGAAACGTACGTGGAAAATATTGTGTATTTTGGAAGTAACAATAGCTGTGATGGTACTGTAAATGTACGGAAGAAATCAAAACAAGAATAGGACAAACAAAAACGGCATTTAATAATCTTAAAAACCTAGTGAAAAGCATTAAGTTCAATTTGAAACACAGGCTGCTGGAAGGTTTTACATGGAAAGGGCTATTGCATGGGTCATGTGTCAGATGCGTGAGCACTCGGCAGACACTAGAGATTGGAGGCCTTTGAAATGTGGTGTAATAGGCGAATGCTAAGAATAAGGTACACCGACAGGAAAACAGATGAAGAAGTACTGTTCTACGATTAGGAAAAACTTCAAGAGAAATATTTGGAATGTACAGAAAAAGTCAAATGAGATACTTTAGTCATATAAGTGGGGAAGAGGGGATAATTATAGACATATTAATGGACAAAGTTGAGGATAGGTCGTCCAAGAGAAGGCAGAGACTGGGCTGGATGAATGAAATTAAAAACTAAGTACCCAGAGAGATGCATAGCCATGGAAGATTGGTAAAAACAGCCCGAGAACATTTCGAGTGGAGAACTGTGGTCCCCAACCCCCAGATACGATACGGTACTCCGATTGATTGACAGGAGAAATATTAGATAATCTTTGAGGATTCAGATAAATTCACTTTTGATGTTTAATGATGACAACATATTTTCAGGGAGTTTTAATATATTAAACAGTAAAAAAACCTTACGAGAGCAGCAACAGTGGCGGCGACTGAACCACCCCCAGGGGCAGGTGTGCGGGCTGCCACACCCCTGATGAACTGTTCAACGCTGCCCCGTGCTAGCTCCCCGACATCACTCTCCTCCAAGCAGTACTCGATGATCCGCTCCCTGTTGTTTAAACAGTAAATATAATATACATGCATGATGCTTTACACAGTAATTAACAAAATAACTAGAAATAATTGCGACATATGCGGTACCCGAAAAAGCGAAAAGATAATTGTAGTATTTGGAAGGGGGAGGGTGTGTGGGAACTTGAATTTTAGAAATGACCGAGTATTATCTTGTCCATCAGTTAGTATTACTGTGGACTTTGAAATTTTAATATTTAATTGAAAAAGCTACTGCATTTATTTTAGCCAATTTATAATCTCCCCTCTCCACCCAAAAGAGAAATAGTTGAGGCTGCTATAATGTGTTAATATAATATTTTTTATTTTTTTTATTGCCCCCGAGGAGGCTAGTTTATTGGGTACCCCCTTACATCCTGTGCAAGGTGAAGCGCAGAAGCGTTTACAGCGAGTTTATTAAATAGATTCATAAATGTCAAAAGGGTTAGCTTCAGGGAATTCGATGAAGTCATGCTATATTAGCCCCGTCTAACAGACAGTAATACTTATATAAATGTGGGTTATATATACATTAGTTATATAATTACATCACCCACGGTAACTTTCCTTTGAGCCGTGAGTAGTCATCTATTGGACATGTGATGGTATATTTCCACTGAACTCTTCTCTGGACTGCAATCATGAATCAAGTAGTGGCCCTCGACCAGTCTGTTCTCGTCCCTCACGCCCAATAGAAGTGTACCTATGAGGCTAATTACACTACGCTTTGTCCCTCCCTTATTTACGCTCACAGCCTTAATTACGGCGATAAACATTTATGAATGTTGCTTCCAGTTTACCTCTAATTAGTGATTCCACAGGTAACCGGAAACTGCAACAATGTTAAATAAGGTTTTTACCTCTGTCTCAACTGTTTTAGTTGTCGTGTATCGCCTTTCAAAACCATTAAGTATTTTTTTTTATGGAAAAATAATATCCTGTATGAAGTGCCAAACAACGCTGCGTTAGTGAAGCAAGGGTGTGTATTACGGTATACCACTTGTTTCTGGGCGAGTTTAGTCGACCAAATGTCCATCTTTCGTAACTTTACTGACGGCTTTATTTTTTCATGAAGAAAGTGTTTTTAAATCATGCTGAATTGCTCCCGGTGATTAGTTCTTGATCATTCTTGTATAGGTACCCTATAGATTCTAGTGTAAAATGAAATACTGTAACACAAAACTCACTTTGGTTTAAAGGGCGAAATGGTGCTAAGGCCTAGGCGGTTGATGGCGAGGTGCACCTTCTGGTCCTCGTCTAGGATGAAGAGGTTCTCCTTTTGGATGTAGAATTCGGCCGCCTGCAGGATGGCCACAAGGGGCACCAGACCCACAATCTCAGATCCCGTTACCGCCAGGTTTATTTCTTCGGCATCTTTCTTTGCCTGTGGGTGGAAAAGTGTAGTTTAGCGTGATATGGTAATTTGGGTTAATCATTCTGCAAAATTAAAGTGATTGCTTGGGTCAACAAATGTGGAAGTGAAATTAGTTTCCACCCAATTTGGACAGGTAAAGTGGCCGGTTGGGTATCCTAATTTGGGTGACTGAACTGGTAGTCTAGGGCGTAGACTAACCAATTTGACCAGATAAAGTGGTTGATTTATTTTTTATATTGGTTCTAACAGATGAGTCTACTCGATTTGGTGCTGCAGCTAACAATTAGATTATGTGGTCATAAATTAAATCAAGTTCAATAATAGAACTTTGGACGATGATTTACCAGTTTACCAAAGGCTGTATTCATACCTCTCAGGTGTCATAAATTTTCTTAAATAGATAACATACTGTAGAACGTTAAATATATTAAAACAGAAATGCATTCCATGGCCTTATTAGATTCTATTGCGCTTACTTCCTCGTAGGCGATGTGTATGGGCGTAACATCAAAGTCAGTGAGGTTGATGCTGATCTGGGCAATATTCTGCTCCTGGAGATACCAACCGATGGCCTGACAGCAACGGAGGCGGCCAGGCTGGTCAGGTCCACGGCCTTGCTCACGAAGGTTTAGCGCGATCCTTGGAAAATGGATGAACATGATTAATTGTTTGTAACGCCAATAATGTAGCTGAAAATATGCAGAGGTTACTTAAAGTCCTCATAATTTTATTAGAAATCCAGTACCGTACTGTAAAATGTCAGACCTATGTGCCTGCTCCTTAGTGGCCACCATGTTGACGTTATAGGCGATAAGGAACTTCCTGACTCCTGTGACAGTCGCTCCCCACCGAGCCACCCACTCCCGGCTGCCGAAGTTCGGAGCCCACTCTGGCAGTTGTAGCTGAGGGATAATGGTCTAGTTCCTAACTAAAAGTTTCAATTAAATCTTAATGTAGATACAGTTAACCAGTGGCTTTATGGATACGAAACTTCGCATTCATTTTTTACAGTTTATAGGGATTTATGTAGCGTTCAAATAAAGTGTGTCTAGTTTTAGGAAGAAAGCAATAGTGGGCAATTAAAAATTAAAAAAAATGCTAACCAGAGAGTGCTTGATATTTTTTCTTGAGTATTATACAAGGAATTGACTTGACTAAAATGACTGCTTCCGGTACCCACTAAAGAGGAGATTTGAAAATAGTGGAACAGTTGAGAGAACAGGTTTCATTATTAAACCTCACCTTGTCCTTCATGCCCTCGTATTCCCCGGCGCGGATCTGAGGCATGGTCTTGCGGTAGTCCCTGGTGGAGGCGGTGCCGTAGAGGAAGACCGGGACGCCCAGCTCCTCGGCTAGACGTTTCCCGAAGGTCTTGGCCACAATGACACACTCCTCGACCGTGACCCCACGCACCGGAATGAATGGGCATACGTCCAGAGCCCCCATGCGCGGATGTTCGCCTTAGATGGGGGGGGGGGGAAGATAGGTCGTGCCTAAGCTTAAATATTCAGTGGAATCAGTCTTAACAATTACGTTTATAAATCATTATGTGTTTTAGGAGAAAACACTGAATTATAACAATGGAATAAACACAGGCATGAGTTACAAGAGGAAGGATAGAAAATAACATTACCCTACAAGAATGAACAGGATTTGAAAGTGACTAAAATATGCACCTAATTTTACGTAGATGAGGCTTAGATTTTAACAAAAAAGGTAACATTAATATAAAACAAGAAAAAACATGCCAATCACATTGAAAGACAAAACACATCACATGAACAACGTGATACCTTGGCAAAACAAGGGAAATTACAATAGAACGAACAAACAAAAGTTACGCTAAGAGGGACAGTAAAGAACTTTTCTTTGGGGACTCCTCGGCAACTTCATCAATATTTTATTTTTTTGCCAGAGGAAGTTAATTATTAGCACAGAAGTTACCTTGTAATTTTAAAATCTTAAATGTCACTTGATTTGGCTATGTATAACGTCTACAGGTAAATGGAAAATCCAACACGAAAGAATCGTACATGAGAAAAAAAAACTTGTGCAAGTGGTGAAGCAGACAACCAAAAATGAGAGCCACTCCGTCGTATAAATTACCAACTTTTACGTTAGGTAATCATTCACATTGGCTCTTGTAGGACTATTGTAGGACATATCACATGGTTATTGTTATTTATATTTTATAACTATGACTGTTAGTGTTAAATGGTCGATAAACAAATCGAAAAAAGCTTTTACTAATTCTCACAAATATGAAGCTTTATGGCAACATGTACAGCTTGAAGACGAAACATTGTGAGCATAAACGAGGACTTCTGGGATACAGAGGATACATGATACTTATCGTTCACCAGCTTAGGCTACTAGTTCAGAGATGTTTTTAAATCTATACAGACACAAGCCGAAATTGCTTTAAATATTTCATTTATTTTTGTATATTTTTCTGGGCTGGAATGTATGAGTGGTATCATCCCATTAATCATTTGGACCTTGGTGTTTATTAAGATGGTCCAGACGAGAAGTGACATGTTTGTACAAACTAGACTATCACTTGGGACTATCTGCCCGCCTCTCCACACTGCCTCACTGGATCTGATTATTATGCACTCCACCTCTGTCGGTCCCTAAATCATTCGTCCCCTGATTTGTAAAAACTACCACAACTGGTTTACCTTTATGCTTGGTCATATCGATGAGCTTGTAGGCGACCTTAGCGGCATTGAGGGCAGCCTCGACGACATTTGTAGGGTTGCCGACGAAAGTGTAGACGGTGCGGTTAGTAGAGTGTCCGGGGTCTACGTCCAGGAGGGTCGCCCCCGGGGTTTCACGAACCGCATCTGCTATTGCCTTTATCACCTTTGCCACACGGGAAAATTGATGGGTGATTTAGTTTATTCAGAAATGACCTTACAGGTACTGATTTTGATACTTGCCGGTATTTTTAGGAACGGGATAAATGTAGATTTGGTATTGCTATACTTTGTCATATGATTCAGGTACAGTCCCCTTCACTAGTGCGTTTACAGGAGCTCGTTATATAAATATTCTACAGATCATTGTCTTTGAGATATTTGTGTTAATATTGTTTTAGTTCGATTTCATGTGTTTACTATTCCGAGTTTCCTTCTGTCACACAGAACAAAGCCTGACGAGCCCCTGTAAACACACTAGTGAAGGGGACTACCTTTTTCAGAAATAACAGGTTAAGTACAAATATAGGGATTATTTGCAGGTTCAGTGGTTTCCATGGGGAGACCATGTCATAAATACCTATGGTGCTTTAATTTTTTTACAGAAACCTAAATTACTTATTAACACATAGTAGGCTTCTGAAATTTGATTACCTTTAGTAATGAGGTTTCTGAAATTTGATTACTTGTTAGTAGTGAAATAAAACGTCTTAATAGACTATCTCCACTTATATTCTTGAAAACCAGTGGGAGAAGTGAGTGTTGGAATCGTGAGGTCGTGGATACTTTGAGAAAGGAAGGTGTTGAAAGTGGAGAAGCAGGTGGAGGATGGAGATAAGTGACAAAATCCTTGTATGAGGAGTAGCAGGGCGTAGTCAGGTCGTGGGCACTGTTAGAAGGAAACGAATGTGGGGCGAGGTAGTCCTAACGTAGGGGAGGTGATGAGTGATAAAGGGGCCGTTTGTTGGGGGGTGGTATGCGAAGCATGTTCCTCATCAGAAAGTAGTGAAAGAAGGGAGAGAAGGGTGGATGTAATTTTTTAATTACTCGTTATAGGTCACTAAAGCTTCTACACGAAGATATCAATAAGATGGGGGTTGAAATTGCACCGAGACCCTATTATAACAAGAAAAGTGGCGCATAGACCTTTGAGAACTCGTCTTGATGCCAACTAAAGAACTACAATAGATATTACATATATTTTCGCATTATCTATATTGCAGGTTTTGTGGACGTTGATACAAAACGAGCATGTTAGTGATTTAACTTATATTTGTGACGTTCGTAAATTTAAGTGACCCCGTCTGGTCCCCGAGATATGCTATGGACTGTCAATTGGTTGAAAATGTTCAGAGGGCCACCAGACTAGTGCCTGCCCTTCAGCACCTCAGCTACCCTGAGAGATTGGAGCGCCTGAACTTACCTAGCTTATACTACAGACGGGCAAAGGGTGACCTAATTGAGGTGTATAAGCATCTCAAGGGGCACTACTCAGTCGAGTGTCCTTACTTGGAGCTGGCGGACGCTCGCCCCACAAAGGGTCACAGCTCAAGATTGAAGAGCCGCTAGTCCAGAAAACTGTGAGGGCAAACTTTTTCGGAGTGAGAGTTGCGAACTCTTGGAACAATCTGCCAGAAAGTGTTGTGACGGCATCGAGTGTGAGCTCTTTCAAAACAAGACTTGACCAACACTGGAGCGGGTTCAGGTACATTCAGGAGCCGGTGCATGCCCAGTACTTGCCAACAGTGCGTAACATAGACGTGACCGATCGCCCAAGCGGCTAACGAGCCGATCAGTGTTGACGAGGATAAAAGTAAAAGTAACCGGTTCCTAGTTCTTAACATAAACTTATTAACATAGAATGCTTGCGTAACAGGCACATTAGACAATGTGCAACATCGTGCCATGAACAAAATGAGTAAAATAATAATTAAGAACAATATTTTGCTAATGTATGTACTTGTTACTGCGTATATTTCGGCTCCCTAGCACGAAAAATTGCCTAATATATCGCTCGGACAAGCAAGAAAAAACTACGGGGCTACGTAGCAAACACCGAGCATTTCGCCTTTTCGGTTTTTTTTTTTAACCTCTTCACCGCTGATCGGCTCGTTAGCCGCTTGGGCAATCGGTCACGTCTGGTCTTGAAAGAGCTCACAATCGGTGCCGTCACAACACTCTCTGGCAGATTGTTCCAAGAGTTCACAACTCTCACTCCGAAAAAGTTACCCCTCACAGTTTTCTGGGCTTGTGGCTTCTTCAGCCTTGAGTCGAATACGGTAAGGAGAAGGGGGGCTTTATATACAATTGATTAACACAGACAGACTGACACTGCTGCTCTTATCAAACAATCCTCACATTGTAATTAGATAAGTTCGACTAAACGTCACTTAGGTTAATAGGAGACAGTGGATACTGGTAATCATGAAGAAAATGTATAGTTAAGGTAGTCATTATTATTTTGATGCTTTTTTTTTGGGGGGGGGCAACATTTTTAAACTTAAGAATTATTAAACAACTGCGTTCGTACAGTCATTTAAGAGGTAAAAAAAAAGTTCAGTGCACAGAAGCTTTGCGAATCCCCTCCGATTACGCATAGTTTGCTTTGTACTGTACTTTAATTTTACCATTCAATATTATCACTGGTACTCAATACCTAATACTTTTGGATATAAAAAGTTACAAATTTCAAATGACATTAGGCGCTGTTTATTCCCAATTATATTTTAGTGTTTGATGCGGACTTACCGATTTATCACGTCCTTCCGAGAAGTTTGGCACGCATTCAATAATCTTGGACATTTTTCACTGTCAGAGGACTATCTATTATCACTTTTATCCTCTTCACCACTGATCGGCTCGTCTCGGGTGGTGACTGTTACCAACTGGAGATTAAAAGTACCAAACGTGTCTGGGCAGATGACATACCCACAGTTGCTGTTCGCGTCCTCTGTAGAAGCTAGTTGTCAGTAGTCAATTTTATCAGTGACAAAAAAATATATCGTAGATTAGTGACATGGAATTATTTTTAAATAACACTAACCATATAAAAGAACGTGACATGGTTGTATGAAAAAATGCAACATAATTTAGATATTAAGAATATGGAAGTCGTAAATGGCATTCAAACGCTTCCCAAGGTCCACAGCCTTGAGCCTCATTGGTGGGCATATTACGTCTCACGCCGTGATTGGTGGATGGAGCACACACCCACACCCTAATTTTCCTTGTTAATAGTAAATTAAGTTTGGACAACACCATCTACATTACAATGAAATATTTTCAGGGTGAAATTTCTTTGGCTGATATAGTAGACAGCTATCAAACAGGGAGGTACTACCACCTGGGAAGATATTGAAAGCATAATGTCATATGGCATCACAAAAATTGTGACCAAGTCCCAGGTTGCTGATCTGACTTTCTGTCTCATTTACACACAATTGCAGGATCTCAATTGTTTCTCTCACTTTGACAACACAACATACATATATCGTTTCTCACTCTTGATCTTTCTTTTAACCTTTTTGTTTTTCTTTATTATTATTATTATTATTATTATTATTATTATTATTTAAAATTTTATTTTGTATTGTGACTTGTGCCCGGGTGGGCTAATCCCTGTAAAAAAAAAAGTAAGTCTCCACGAGATTAACTGCTAACAAAAAAACCCGGTTATTATAGCTGCCAGTCACGAGCGTAATTTGTGTATTGAAACACCTAACCGTTAAATATATGTATAAATAAGACATTTAATCGATGTAATTTGGGATAGAAAACTCACCTACAGTTCTGTACATATATTCTCAAAGCACCCAATAAATATGCGCTCGATCCAAGCAGCACGAACATAAGAGGCGTTTGGCAACTTGAAATTATATCTATCCCAAGAGCAGACTGAGGCAGAACCAAAGCAAAATATATTAAACCAAATGTGTAACTAAACCTAGAGTCACAATATTAAGAATTTGGACTAACGGATTGTGATCTATAATTCCAATTAAACTTTTCTTTGCCTTGTGGCAGAAAATTACAAGTTATATCCAATGGTCCTTAATGTAAAATAAACGAAAATAGTTTAACATCTCTTAATTAAATGTTGAACAAAATATTTATCAACGAAACGAAATATACATGAACACAGGATTACAGCTAATAATAAATACTACATGAACAAAAATTTCCACCGTCTCACTAAAAAAAATTGGCATTATAACTATGTTAAGGTATCGTATACATGTTTAAGGCATTTTCAATAAAGTGAAGGGTGTAAGACTTCTCAAGTCGAGACTAATGCAGAAAGATACACAGAAGTTTATATAAAAACTTTAATTCTTCTAATCCTGAGAAATAGTGTGCAAAATACTTTGTGCCCTTTATTTATTACCGACATGAATATGGTAATATACTGTACAGTACAATAAATTAGGTGTGCTTATTTTCATTTTAATGATTGAACTCGGAAAGGTATGGCAGGTTGTCACTTGCTATATTAAGGGTACTGTACATGCCCGGTAATAGAGTATTAAATCTTTTTTTTTAACGATATCTTGAGGTCTTTTAAAGCAAAACATATATGTTTGCCTGATAGAAATTATTTGGAAAACAAGGGGAGTTTTGTTTACCACAGGTAATGGTAAAATTTATAAGCACTTCTAAGGAGAAGTGACAATTTATATACAAGAAGACTATGAAAGTTCTGTACTGTATTGAAGTTCCACCACACTAAATTTACAACTACCGAACAGCAAACCATCAGTTTTCATATAAAGTTGAACATATTCAGCTGTTTTGGGTAGAAAATATTTTGCATCATTATCATAATTGACACCACACCCATAAAATGCTAAATGTCATCTCAAAACCTTGTTTGTAACTTGCAAAAGAAAATAAATTGTTAATAATAGTCTGGCTGGCTGGTTTTGGGAGTTGCTCCCATCAATCAATAGGTTCCCCTCTATAGTTGTCTAACTTCTTCCATAACAGATCAAAGAAACAAAGAAAAACTTTTATGATGATTTGACAAACAAATGCTTGGGACAGTATGACCACACAGGCTTGTAAGATCTGTCTAAGCAGTAATACAGAAAGGCACAAGAAACAAAGTTTGAGGACTTCTTTTTTAAGGACAAAATAATGAATCCCTCTTGTAATATTACCAAGGTTGCATTAGAATAAATACTTAATAGTGAAGGTGTAAATGAGCCAGAGGTGCAATTGAAGACAAAATAAAGTACTGTACTATTTATGGGATGTTTTGAAGCATTGTTTTTGGCTTACTAAGGACAAAAGGAATGTTGACAAGAAAAACAAAACTTCAGTGAAGACAAGAAATATTTACTTTAGTGATATGGGGATAAACCCTATTACTGTACTGTATTAAATAATTATGTAAAACAGATGAGTTCACAGGCTACAGACTTGTCTAAAACTACTGTACTGTACTGTGTAAAAAGGTGAAAACTGTTGCCTTTTTTTTAAGATTGACTTTGTTCTTTTTAAAGATTTAGATGTGGATAATCATGCAGAAGTACTTTATTACATGTTCAGGACTTGTACTCCACAGTATTAGGCTGGACATTGTTGTCAAATAACGAACCATTCGGTGATACTGTAGAATTCTATTAAACAGTCTGGTGATTGATATGTGACATTTAGTAAAGGTTGATATTTGTGAATAATTGACAGTCATTACTTATTTTGAGTGATGAAATTTAAGTAGGGATGATCATATTTTTATGAGTAGTACCAGTAAATTGTATTCATAAAGTATCAAGGGAATCTTTATAGTTCACAGTGGAATAATTTCATTTCTCTTAATACAGTACATGTTACCTGGACACTTTTATTGGTGGAAATTCTCATTAAAAAATTCAACACTGGAGAGAAATACAGTACTGTACAGTACTGTAGCTACATCCTAAGTGGCGGTAAACTTACATTTTACATTTACTCTGTATATTTTCTTTTTTCATTTTACTGTATAAACAATTCAAACATTTGTACAGATGCTGAAATGAATCATACAGGGGGTATAAATATAATAAATACAGCCACTCCTCGACTTACGACCACCCGGACATACGACCGCCCCATTCGTACCAAAATTTTTTCAAATTACGTATTTTCGAGTCCCGACGTTAGTGATCACGCTGTGTACTGACAAAATTTTCGTTCGTAATTCCCTTTAAAATGGCTGGCATGCTTAAAAGTGAGAGTTTTGTGGTGCTGAGAAGAAAAGGAAACACCCATTTTAGATTTTCTATGTATTATCTTCGCATTTTCGACTTACGACCTGGATTTGGGTTCCTAACCCCGTCGTAAGTCGAGGAGTGGCTGTAAACAAAATAAAATGCATTTGCTGTACATCATTACCTAATCACATTTTAATTCTGTGTATGCAATTTTCATATTAATAAAGCCATTCATGTAACATACCTTTCAATTAGGTAACAGAAATAATACGTAATTACATGTACTCTTAGCTTTGCAGTTCATAGACCCTAATTATTAGTGACCACGACGTGATGTAGTATCTGTGGGTTAAATATGCCCTTGGATCTTCTTCACTGTTACAACCATGCCAATTTAAAAATGGGAGGGTTGGAAACAAGGACACATTGAAAGGTAGGTGTGTCACACTAGCTTGTCTGTCAGCTGTTGCTGGATAACCATCTCATAGATTCAGATTTAGGGTACCCCCTCACTTCCTTGCTCTGTAAAGACTATTCTACCAGCAGTTGTGTCCTATTATTTTTACTTTACCTTTACTTTTATCCTCTTCACCACTGATCGGTTCGTTAGCTGCTTGGGCGGTCGATCACGTCTTACACATTGTTGGCAAGTTCTGGGCATGCACTGGCTCCTGAATGTATCTGAACCTGCTCCAGTGTGGGTCAAGTCTGGTCTTGAAACGGCTCTCACTCGGTGCCACCACAACACTCTGGCAGGTTGTTCCAAGAGTTCACAACTCTCACTCCGAAAAAGTTTGCCCTCACAGTTTTCAAGACTTGTGGCTTCTTCAACCTTGAGCTGTGACCCCTTGTGGGGCGGGCATCCACCAGCTCCAGGTATGGACACTCGACTGAGTAGTGCCCTTTGAGATGTTTATACACCTCAATTAGGTCCCCCCTTGCCCGTCTGTAGTATAAGCTAGGCAGTTGCATGTGCTCTAATCTCTGGATAGCTGAGGTGCCGAAGTGCAGGCACCAGTCTGGTGGCCCCCATTTGGACATTTTCAATCAACTGACAGTCCCTAGCATATCTCATGCCCAGTAATTGCCAGTAGTGTGTAACAGAGACGTAACCGATCGCCCAAGCTGCTAACGAGCCTATCAGTGGTGCAGAGGATAAAACTAAAAAAAAATGAGGGAAGCACCTCACTCTTTGAAGATCGTTACGAATGACTCACCGTCTAGATATCTGAACGACCTTCTTATAAGACCAAATAATTTAGTTGCTTGATTCACCTTCTTCTCACAATGGCTCAAGAAATTCAGTTCATTGTCAACATACACATCCAGGTCCTTTTCGCTTTCAGTCTCTATTAATGCAGTTTCTTCATTCCCTTGGGACATATGATACCCCTCCGTTGAGTTAAACCCATTGCCTCGTTTCTTTGCACTTTAGGAGAATCTAGGCTGGGGCAGTTTTTATTGCTATACAGTACTAACAGCAGGCCCATATTTTTGCTTGAATTTTATGAGTTAATTACTTTACAGTTTGCTATGACCCTTCTAAAAGTGAAGCCAGTTTGTTATTAAGTGGGCTAATGAACTCTGGACTTGCAAACCATCTACCTTAATTTGGTGGTTTTGTTTTGTAAAGATAATTCTTCATGGATTCTGCTAGCCAGCTTGGACTGGCTGGGTAGGTGAACGAGTGTAAAGGGTGATACAAAGGTAATGCTCGTTATAAGCAAGAAAAAACTTGAGTTATGCCGTTCATGGTCCCTGTACACTAAAGGATGAACCAATGCCTTATAACACAAGTTATGCACCCCAGTGAGAACATGAACTGTTAACTTGAGAATCTTGTTTTCATTGATGGTGGAAATTTTTTTCATTTTTCAAGGGAATTGACCATATGTGGCTTCAGTAAAGTGTTTTATTTATGTATTACCGGTATGTGTTGTTTTAATTTATAAAATTTTATTTATGATCTGTTTAGCATGAATTGTTCCACATGCATTGGCTTTACAAATGAGTGCTGTTTAGGTGCACTTTCAAGGTGGTACCTGTACAATGCATTTTTTTAGATTAGTTTTGATTTTGAATTTTTCTTTTAGGGTTTTGCACACCTTTTCAAGAAGAAGGATTGTCAATTTATGTTACTCGGACTGCACTTTTTCTGATGATGGGGAGGAAGGTGAAACCGGATTTTTTTGTAGGTGTTCAGTTGGAACAATTCAATAGCGACTTGGTGTAACATCAACTATGAGCCTTTACTGCATCATAGAAAATTCAGTTGCACGATAAGTTCTAAACCAGTTAGTGTTCAGGAACCTTGGGTATCTCACCATTCCTAAACAGTGAGTTTTTGGTTTCTGGAGCAGGAGTTGATTCAGAATACCAGTAGTTCATTGGGACATGTCCCATACTTTATACTTTATCTCCTTTCAGGGAGATACTGTATTCTCTTTCCTTATTTCGAAAAATTGGAAAGCCTCTCGAGGGCCTGAGTATTGATGAGGTTGTTTTGGGTTGGGTAATAATAAAAAAAAAATTCTTTAGGCAAATAGCAAGACTGAGTTAAGTACCCCTAATAGTGGTTGCAACACAACTACATCTAGAACTAACCCACATACTGTAGGGCCATGGGAGGGGCTCTAGTCCTATGAATCCTGAGCTTCTTGAAGAAGAGAGTGTTTATATTTGTTCTATTTCGGTCAAATACCAGTAGTTTAATTCTCCTGTATCATACAAATACCATATTATTTGCTGTGGTACTAATTTTAACATTTGGTTATTGGTGAGTATTGATAGTCCAGGCTGTAAATGCTTTGGTTTATACTGTAATACTATACTGTAGATATCTTGTGTCAGTGTATCAAAAGGTGAGGTTTCTTTAAGGCCTCTTCCCCAGCGAAGTTTTATAGGATGTACAGTATTTCAGCACACATTGGAGCTCTCCTGTTCACTTTCAACTTTGCAGTTTACATATAATAAAGTGATGCCATCAAGAGAAATTCTCATGTACTGTACAAGTAATTCTCAGGAGTTTTCCTCTGGGTGATTTCCAGATAGTGGATTGATTATTAGGGTTGCTGGATATCACTTATTCCCATTGTTCTGTGGGGTTGGATGCACTCTTTTGTTTTGGTTGATAAGTACATTTTTCAGTTCCCTAATTTCTCTTGATTGCTTAAAGTCACTACAGTACCAAGCTACAAGAGTTACATAGATTTTCTGTGGAGAAATAACTTTTCCAGCCCAGTTAGTGTTGGGTTTATCTCCTTGCCCATCCTTTTTTCAGGCTGTTCAGCTTTTCTCTGGCTTGGGAGACTGGGAAGAAATAGATTTCATGCCTATGTCCTCAGTTTGGCTTTTTCTAGGTTATACTTTCACCAAATTTAATGTTTTGCGTGAACAGGATTACTGCAGTTAGTTTCTTTCTTGGGGTTCCTTCAACTTACTTAGCGGGCTTTGTTAGATATTCAGTTTCAAAACTTAATTTCAAGTCAAATACAGAAGTGGAGAACCCCTGGTCACTGACTACCTTACAAATGTAGTTTCTTAATTGTCATTGACTGGCACAGTTTGTCTAAAATTAGGGTCTTCGATCTGAATACTGTACAGTACTGTGTTTTTTCTTGGTATCCATCGCAACACTATAGAGCTGTGTACAGTAAAGAGGTTTGTGGGTTATTCTTTAGCTATGTCTTTCTTTAGGTAGTTACCAGTAAATGAACTCCCTTTGTGGGGTCCATGTCACTTTAGAGGTTGGAACATAGTTAATTATCCTTATACCCCCTGTAGCATTGATGGTGAACTATTTCAAAGCTCCTTTTTTTTTTTTTCTTTTTTTTTTTACCCACTTTTAGTTCAATGTCACAATTCTAAGTACAGTACTGTACAGTATCTAAAATTACAAGAGTTGACAAAAAAGAATGCATTTAAAGATCCAGTGTAGGCGTTGAAATGTCATGCTTTGCCAGTAACATGTGGCCCACAATCGGTTTTTGTTAATTAAATCTTAACATTTTTTTGTATGCTGTGACACTTGTTGTACTCATTTTGATAGTACACCCACACATATATAATACTTCATGTGCGATATTTTCACATCGTATTTATTTTTCAAAAATTTTTTTGGAATGTACAGTTAATATACACTCGGTGCGGAGTGGTGGCTTTTCTATAGTATCTTGTACTGTATACATGATCATGTTTCGTGTATTTTCCCAAAAAAATTCTTTGATACGAATATATATACTGTACTTGTATATATATTTACTCGATCCTTTTCATAAACAATATTTACACATTTTTCACCACAATGCTCTCAACTAGAAACATGAGTAGGCAAATTCTTTCTCCCTATTTAGTTTCTGTCCTTCAATGGACACCAAAAATACTGTATTCAATTTCCAAGCCTTTACAATTGGTGAAAGAATTTGACTTATCATTTAACATATATAATGTGATGACCAAACAGCCATCAGCTGAGCAGTCTGTTCACAGACAGGATGAACTATGAATGGGTCAAAGGAGAAAGAACTACAGTACAGTACAGTAATTGCAAAAATTCCAAGGGTAGATCTGATCAGGATACTAACTTACCACATGGTTAGGGTCTATCTGGGTTTCTGGCCTGCCAGGCTTATGTACTTAAGTCACTCAGTGTTGGGTTAGGTCATAAAATAGGATATCAGTGGTAAACCTGCATTTTTAATTATGATCCAAAAAATCTACTGTCAAGTATGATTATCCATAGCTTTGCTTTTTTGGTCATTGTAGTAAATCTAGCATCATTTTACTTTACAAATACCCTGTACAGGGATGCAGCGTTTAGCGATTGTTCATTTAGTGATAATTCGGTTTAATGATTTAAAATTTCTAACACCCATTGTTATTTAACAATCTGCAATTGTTTGGATGAGCGGTCATCAACTCATGGAAATATTCAGGAGGGAAGTAAAAAAAAAAAATGGGGATTCTGTGCTCCAAGTGGACATCTCCACTTGGTGGGCATTGTGGGTGTATACAGTATATGGGAGGGTGTGGGCATGATAAGAACATGACAGGTGGTAGCGTAGGGGTGGGTGGGCGGGTGGTAGAGGAGGATTCACAACATAGCGGTGAGGCGAGGGCGGAAGCCCTATCTGCCTCTACCACCATCACTGCTTTACCTGATAGCATATGTCAATTGCCTATTCCTAAATATTGCCTCAGTGAATAATATCTACATATTTAAGTACAATAAATAGTAAAATACAGCAAGTGTAGAATTATGTAAATGTAAGTGATATCTGAAACTCACTGTGACATGTTTGCTGTGGAGCAGAGGCCTTTGCTAATCGCATTCTATTTAGAATTGCCACATGTAAGTAATTATAAAAATAATAATTCCAGTAAGAACTGCTTACTGTACAGGTATTCCCTTTTATGTTTTTGACCTTTTGATATATATATGCAAATAAATCACTGTAGGTGCGCGTGATCCAGGTATATGCTGATAACCACAAGGAAAAAGAAAACACAAAGTGTTTTCTTTTTCCTTGTGGTTATCAGTATATATATATATATATATATATATATATATATACAGTGGGGTATGCTATAACGAACGGATCCTACTACGAATATTCCTATAACGAACGGTTTTACCTATAAAATTGAGAATGCTATAACGAACGAAACTCCTACAACGAACATTATTTATTTTATTTTTTATTTATTTTTTTCTAATTTATTGTTTTTTTATTACAAATATTAATGATATTCTTTATTTCAGGGGTTTAGATGCATATTTATGCACTTTTTTACAATTTTTACAATTTTATATTATATTTTTCAGTGTTAAGTGGTTGTATTTGGGGGCCTGGAACGGATTAATCCTATAACAAACGAATGCTATAACGAACAAGGTTCTAGAACCAATTAGATTCGTTATAGCATACCCCACTGTATATATATTTATTTTTATTTTTTTTTTGGTGCACATTCTGTATGAACAAGTGTGTATGCATGTAAGAGTACAAGAAAATGAAGAAAATTATGTATATCTACCCAAAATTATGAGTTGAAGAAAAACATAACTCAGCTCAGCCTCACCCATTCTTGAGTGCTACTGGGTGGCGAGTCAGCCACGTGACTCCACTACACAATTACGCGCCATCTCCATGAATATTATTCCTCGTTTCTTTTCGCTCAGCGATAAAATCACTTGGCGATCTTTTTTTTTTTTTTTAGGAATGCATCCCGATCGCTAAACGACGCATCCTTGTAACATGTTTGCATTTCGTAATGATCTGTGAATATATGAACATGTTGCTAAAGCTTATTGTTTCTAATGACTTCCTTAATCACTTGGCTGTATACAACTGGGAAAAAATATGTGCACTTAAAGGAGCATTGGTTATGCCCTGCATTGGCTTGCAGTCACGTGACAAAGATTATTAATTTATTGAGTAATTTAAGCCAGTGCCATGTATCCTAATGGTTATAAACAAACTGTTGACTGGTGAGTGAATTAAGCTTGCCCTCGGGTATGGACAGATGTTTAATAATATTTGGCATAGATTTTCATCTAGTAGATTAAATTCCCCCTTGGCCATGTGATTCAATGAGTAAAGCTTGCCTAAGGGTGTCACAACAATGTTCCATATAAATTGCTGCCTTGTTAAGTAAACAAATTAAGACCATTAAGTAATTCATATGTTAGTGAATACCCTGTATATTTATTTTATCCCATGGACCAGCATTTGTCAAGACTGATAGAGGACAGCTTTGTCTTGAAATATACATACAGTACTGTATATAATTTTTTGTAGTGAATAACTAAATGCACAATTAGAATTTTTCTTTAATACAGTATAGTACAGTACAATATATAATTTATTTAGAGATGAATTTTTCATTTTGACAAGTACAGGTACAGTACTGTACTGTATATACCGCACCTGTATTAAATTTAGGCAGTCTCATGTGTAGCTCTAATATATGAATAGTACACTCTACTATAGAGTATTTTAGTATCTGTCAGAATACAGTAAAATCTAGAATGGACAGGCCAGAAACCAGGACATGCAAAAAATAATGAAATGGAAGTTTTGGAATGTAACACCAATATAACTGCAAATTATGCATCATTCATAGAAAACATGAAACAATAGATCAAATAAATGCATTAATGCTACTACAGGTTGCTATTTTGTTTTAATGGGGCTTTAACTTAATCTTAATGTAGCCTTTTAAAAAATTGAGAATAAGTACTGTACAAAATTTAGACATACTGCATTGGATTGAAGTCAAGATGCAGAACTTGAATCTACCTAGGTTGACTTCATCAAATTTGTATAAAAACCATATTGATGACTTCAGTTACTTATATAAGATTTCATTGCATTAAACAGATTTGAAGAAAAAATCTCACACTATTTCTCATTTTGAAGACCATGCACAGAAAGGATAATCAACCTTCCTGTTATCACCCTGTTGTAAAAATTAGAGTACAGTACATGTATAGTACATATGATTTTGATTCCCTAAATACATGGGCATTATATAGTTTCTAACCACATTTTAAAACTAATATATGCAATAACATTTGACTTTTATCTGTATATAGTTCCATAATATACTGTATATGAAAATTATTTAAACTTGGGCAGTGACAACATACCTGTATTTGTGATTTCAAGATCGAATCTTTGTGCATTGTGATTACGTCAGTAATGTATGGTAAAATCCAACTAATCTGAATTCCAGTAAAAGAAAATATTGGTGGCAGACATTTGTGATTTTGCCATTTCCTATATAAAAAGGTGACGAGAAAAAGTTTTATGTTCTGTAGGTTTAACATGACTTTGAATGTATTGTGCTTGGCTAATCTGAGTAACAAACTTATGAACTGTGCACACAAATTTGGATGAACATTTTTGGCAAACACTGAACAAAATTAAAAATTTGTTATCCATAATGTCGTAAATGCTGTACTGTATTAGCATGAAGCAAAAAAAGTCACTTCGTACAAATTAACTTACTGTACAAGTTAGGTAGCTACTGTTACAGAATAATGTAAGATTAATTATCCTGAGTTTATTTTAAAATAAATTCTAGATTCTGGGGGTTTCCAATTACAGTACAAAGTACTTGTATATCATTTGTTTCCAGACATATTTAATGATAAAAAAATTTAGGCATCAGAACTTGAACTGCAGTACATTAATGTATGCACTTTTATTTAAGTATGTTTGGATAAGCTAATGATTTAAAAAATTAAACACCATTTCTTAAAAAACACTTAATTTTTATTTAAAAATCTCTGCTAAAAAAAACACCTTATGGTATTTGCCTCGAACTGTTGCTGTTAAATAATCAACATAATCTGATGCGAAGAGAAAATAATTTATCCTTAAGACACAAACACACACACATACACACGTAAATCTGCTAGCTCCATATTGACAGCACAGTAAAAGGATTAGTCTGGTCTTGCTAACTTAGTGATACAGTATCTGCATTACAGTACCACTGGGATTGACAGTATCTTAAGAAAAAAAAGTGCAGCACAAAAGTTGCAAATACTGTACGTACTCATACTATATTGGCTGTACCAGACCAATGTTGTACATCTTTCTCTTGCTGTAAGTTTATTCCACATTCCTCCCTGTCTTATGGCTCTTTCTTCTCCAGATGTTATGATCTGAACACTTCCACCTACCTTGGTCTGCCTCTATATTATAGTTGCCTTGTTCCATTATGCAGTACTCAGGGTTTCATTTTATCACCCAACCTTTAGACCACCCTTTTTCAATTTCATTATTTCCACATCAGATCCACTCTTCAAAATATACATTACTTAACCATTAAAATTTCTCTTAACTGCTTACACTCTACCAGCCACTCTTATCAGATCCACTTTCACAGGCTTTGGGAGAAATATAAATTTACACTACCATAAATTGGGGTTATTTTGTACTAATTGTTGTCTTACTCTCCCCCCCTCCCTCTCTTCAAACCCTTAAACTGTGACTTGCACCATATGGTAAGGTTTTTGTGCAATATTTTTTATAATTGTGCACAAAAGATTAGCATTCATAAAGCAAATCACATTTCCCACATACTTTTTCTGCTACCCATGCCTTAGTAGGGCTCTCAACTGCCCTTCAGTTATCACAGAAGACACACGTTTGTCACCGTTGGAGCCAGTCTGTGACCCACTTGCTCATCCTTCCGCCCCTACTCACTTGGCTCCCACACTCACTTAATACTCGATCACCACAAAACTTGGGTAGATAAGGATATATATTTTTTCTCATATTTCTGCTTGCATATCTTTAATTTTGTAAAAAATATAATATGTTGCATTTGTTCTCTTGCTTTCTAAACACACAGTGGTAGCAAGGGTTCCCTGTAGTCGCAGTTTAAAGGTCAATTCAGTTCACTGTTCTTGCTTAAAATTACAAAACATTCACCTAACATGTGCCCTTTATTTCCAATCCTCTTTACCACTTTTTATTTATTTTTATTATTATTCACAATGCATGTCCAAAAAAGCTACCTTGTGAGTTACACCACATCAACCATCTTAAACACACATTATACCCAGGGTGGAGTTGTTTTCACTAATATCACATAATTTGTTTTTTAATGCCTGTACTTTGTGCTGAGATTAATTTCCTTTTTCAATAAAAAAATAAAATAAAGTATCTTCGATATAAAATCAGAGATGACAGATTGTTGAGTTGTCATCTATGTTGTCCAATGTCTGAATGTAGATACTAAACTTCAAATTGGCTCTGATCAGTAAGACTTGAAAATTATTTTAATTTCAGCCTTGCTTGTACTGTACCCCTCTAATTATTAAATTTATTCCTTAAACATTTCCTTTAGCAACATCCACCCAGTCATAAAGTATGTTATTTCTTATCACTTTATACACCACTGAACATTATCCTTCCAATTTTTGTTTAACATGTTGGCTGCATATTTAAATTGCAGGGGGTCACTAAGGAACTATTAACACAAGCTTAGTATAGGAAGTGATATTGATGTACTTTTAAAAGTTAAATTATATTAATAATGCACCATAAAAGTTTAAAACAACCAAGGCGAGGCAAAATGAGCTGGGTAATGTAGCAACTAGATGCAGCAATTTTGGGTTTTGTGGTTGGTCAAATATTACAGTTAAGGAAGATTAAATTTTGTCCCTATGGATTACTTTACTGCAACAGCCAAAGGTTTACCAGTGCAGGTATCTCTCACTATATGAACGTTCAAGATACAGGTGTACCCCGAAAACTGACATCCCGTTAACCATCGTTTCGCATACCCCAGAGATCCGATGATCGGGATAGGAGCGGCAGAACTGTTTTGAAATTGGTGGGAGGTGGCACTGTGAATTCTTGCTACAAGAGGGCTCTACGCACTGCCCTGATTTATTCCTGCCATCTTTGTTCTTGTTTACAACTTGCACTGACTTTGTGTTTTTTCATTACTTCTGACTTAGTGTGTTCCTCAATCATGTCTAAATGCCTCAGTGATAGCTCATCTTGTACTGGGCAGCTTAATGTGATGTTATAAGGCATAATAAGAGTGGTGATGTACCAGCAAAGAGTGGTAGAGACTTGAACTTGTCATCCTAGACCATCTCTGCCATCAACATGGGTAAATAAGTCTCAATTTATGCTTTACATTGCTTATTTAAGGCTTACTGTATTATGCTTGCTTCATATGTGTGCTGTATTTTTGTGCTTGACAGTGTGCACAACAAAGATATATCAAGGGTAGATGGAAATTTTTAGGGGGTTGCCAGTCCCTAACCACCTGAATTTGTTATGTTCGTATGGGATTAATTGCTTCAATAACCGTTGATTCACTAACCAATGACATTTGCCGGTCCCTAAATGCATCCGTTATCAGGGTACACCTGTATGAAAAATCTCTTATACGAATTTCGTAAATTACCACCTCTTTTTCATGTCCCGGAAAAAATTCTAGTTGCGCCCCCGGGAATCAGCTGGGGCGGTCACGCCCCCACAGCCCTCTCCCTACCAGGCTGAGGTAGAAGTATGTTATGGTCATTTTTCAACTCGTAATTTTGGTTATATGAACATAACTTTCTTTGTAATTTTTTTTCATTCAGTTACACTCTCACACAATCATACACACAGAATGTGCAAATAAATAAAACAATAAATAATTATAAGGTGAAAACATAATGGGAATAAATATTTCTTTGTGTGCGAGAGCTGAGGGGAAGTGTTGCTAAGGGTCGGCAGAGGCAGCCAGACTGCGTTGCTATTGCAATGTTTGAGGGCGGCCATGTGTGTAGCAGCCAGTGTGTTTGCAAATAGTGCCTGTTAAACCTTGCTTTTACTTAATAGTTTTAGCTGCATATTTTCATCTAGATAGATTTTATTAATTTGTGTTTTTGGGGTATGATACCGGGGTATTTTTGTCATTGGTAAACCGAACCCTAATTTTCCCATTTGTTCTATTAATTGAGATACGAAGATTCACCTAAAGGATTTTTTATTTTATTTTTTTTACCTAACCCATTCATATATCGAGGGATACCTGTTTACCGAGTTGTAATCTAACTCCACACACGCACACATTTACATCTATCTTGCCTCCTTTCAAACATGCACCTACTGACCCCAATTTCATGGCAATTACACTCCACACTATAGATGAAAATCAGAGCTTCAGTAGATACCCCTTCAAACTGGTCTGCAGTCTTTTGTGAACTTCATTTAAAACAGAAGCAGAAGGAACTGCAAGTGAGATGAGATGTTTAGAGTCAATACCTAATTCTGCATTAAATCTCAATTCATCTTAAAAAATATATACTGCATGTATTTTGGAGATAACATTTTTACATCAAATAAAAACACACTAGTAGTTTTTCTTATTGGTGCATAATTTTAGTGAGATCTGCACACAATTTCCTTCAGAATAGTTGGATTATACTGCATACTGCATTCTCATTAACTTTTAAATAAGGTTCCCACGTAAACTGAAAACATTATTGAAATTAAATTTTTTGTGTCTGTAATTCAAATTGAAAACAAACACAATAGGATGTCTTAATAAAAGGAAATAATTTTAACAATCTACACATTAAAATGCTCTGACGTACAACTGGTGGCTATAGTCAGTCACCACCCGTAACCTGAATCATACTTGGAAGCCACTGCCACCAGGATCTAGTTAAGTATTCACTGAGACATGTACACTACTATCTAAGATTCTCTTAACACCAATGCTAAGGCAGTCTTATGATAAATTCTAAATCACGGTTTTATATTTAAATATGTAAATTTTTTTAACATACTGTAATTTGATCTATGGAAAATAAAGCCTATGTCTAAGCCTGCCTTACTGGATGGCAAGTTTAAAAAATAATATAAATACATCAAAACAGTTGCATTCATAATAGGATAAGCACATTTTGATACAATATACTATTACAATAATGCATATATGGCTACTTATTCCAAAAAGTTTATAAACATGAAGTCAAACTTCTTAAGTTTTGCCGTTGATTTGGTTGCACATTGTGAACATGAACAACAATCAACTTATTTGCCTATATCTCATTCACCCACTGGCAAATAATCCCTTAGCATTAAATAATTAACAAGGGTTAACTCCTCAGAACAACTTGCTTTAAATAACCCTTTTTTTTTTGAGGATAGGAATTTCATGGAAACATAAGTGCTGTTACATGAAGTAATATTGTCCCTGAAAGTTAACATTAAACAACTTGTAATCACAATTATTATGGACTACGTGTACCGTACCATATCTGTATAAAAAGAAAAATCCCATGTTGATTTTTTTTTTACAAATATATATAAATAAAAAATTTGGAATGACTGACTAGTTCACTGAACTTTCCACTGAATTCTTTGGGAAAGTTATCTTGTATTGTTTATCAATAAGTTCCATATATTACCTTTATCATTATAAACTACATAGAGAACTCCAAGATGATATCTGTGAGTTGCTGGCAGTGTTTGTCTTAAAATTGAATAGTGCTGTCCTCTGACAGATGCTGTGGTTCAAAATGTTTCTTGGGAAAAAGATTATGATTGGTATTCATATAATTATAAATATAGATGAATGTCAGCCATAAGCACCATTCTTTGACCTCTGAATCAATCTTAACTCATAAGTAATATAAAAAATTTTCCTGTGATTAATTAAATAAATCTTGAACCACTAATGACAACCTTCAAAAGAACCTTATTCCTCCAGTATTGTGCCTTAAAATTCATAGCACTATTTAGCCTTCAGGTGGCCTCCTCATTTTCAGATTCTCCACTGAGTCCTGTGTTTTCTCCAGTGACTCTGCAGCGATGAAAAATGGCCTTCTCGTATGCCTTCTTCACAGCCTTTCTCTCTGCTGGCTTCCGGGACTCAACCAATTTGGCTTTATCCAGAGTAGAATCTACACCCAGGGGTTCCAGCTTGAAACGTGGTAGCCACTGCCTGAAATGTACAGTAAGTGATTTTATATACTATATCCATACTCTCCCAATTGCTTAGGCACTGATTGTCTTCATAACATGGATAGTAGAAGATTCTAGGCCTACCTGTATTCTCAAAGTAAATTATTATTAAATGCATGTTGGGGAGGCCATTTTATAATCATAATTCAGTGATATCCTTGTTAGCCGGAACAATTGGTGCAGAGCACTTCCGGGAATGAGAGATTTCCGGGTAACGAGACGACTCTCTCAAAGCCGGAAAAAAAAATCTCTCATCCCCGGAATTTTCCGGAAAATGGAAAAATGTTCTCGGAAGTTCCAGAAATTGCGCAGTATATCAATTCTCGAACCCGGAAAAATATCCCTCATCCCTGGAATTTTCCGGGTAACTGAAAAATGTTTTCAGAAGTTCCAGAAATTGCCCATTACATCATCTTTCGAACCCGGAAAAAAATTCCCCATCCCTGGAATTTTCCGGGTATCGGGAATTTTTTTTTAGGAATTTTCCGGAAAATGTGTCCCTCGAAAAATCTTTCCCAAAATCGTAATTTTCCGGAAAATTTCGACTTTGAGAACGATTTTCCGAAAAAATTTCAATTCCGGCTATCGGAGAGTTCCGGGTTTGAGGGATTCCGGCTGAGGGAGATATTACTGTATTCCCTATAAACAAAGGGTGAAAGCAGGTTTCAATTTATTAAGCTAATACTTTTCAGTGGCATAAATATTATTATAACAAATCAATTGGTCCATGCATAATCTTTGTTAATAAACCAGTTACAGGTGTATTGCTAACTGGAATTAAACCTCTGATTTTAAGACAAAAGTTTAACTCGCATACATGCAGCAATTACTTTTCATTTGCCAATAAAGTAATTAAATGGTGTCAAACTGAGAGATTTTCAGATAAATAATGAGAAAGGTGAAACCTAATTTTCCATAGAATGAGCCATGAAGAAAAAATAAATAAAATACTCACCATGTTCGTTTGTTATCAAAAAAGAGAACTAGGTACATAGGTGATGGGTAGTTGTTGGCTAGAGCGAGTACATCATCTGGAGGCACAGGGATGGGCACACCATTGTGGAAATATCCAGTCTTTGGCATTTTAGGGTTTATGATCTGAAATATAGACAAGTTATGGGGCTTAAACTAGTAACAGTTTGAAATCTGGGTTTCAATCCATTGGCATTATCTAACAAAGAATGTTGTCCATTTTCTATGGTACCTGTATCCTTCAGGCTACAGAAACTGAAATTACAGACATTCACGTTAATGGATTACAAAAAGAATAGAATGAGTATTGAGATAGAAGAAAAATTCACCTTAACTGAAAATCTGGAAGATCTTTGAATTAAAAAATGGTGGAAAATGTTGCCAGCCTTGATATTTCACTAAACATTATATATAATATGTAATGCTCTACAGTCAGGTATCCCCTTATTTACAATAATCCGCATTAACGGTAAGTAGGTTTTGACACCCTCTCATGATTTACGTTAAGCAAAATCCACATTAACGAAAGTTGTCAGGAGGCTAAACTCACTGTCACGGAATGTAAACACTGGGGAAGCGCATCTCTCCCTACACTTGTCAAATCGAAGATGGCTGCTATGCCTAGAAACTGCTTTAACATCTAACATGCAGCGTCAACCTACTCGTGCTACAGCCCTGCGCTTTATTCCAATGTGGTCGCTCTTGCCCTCCCTCTTGTAACCAATGTTATCGTTATTAATCATTGCGTAACCTTGTGATTGCTGTGATATTTGCCGTTCATTGGTGAGAGGAAAACACTATTGTTCAGATTTTTCCTGTTTTGGTGACTGAAGTGATTAACTGTTAACTTTGAAAATGGCTAGCAAGCATCCTGCGGAGTCTTCCGCCTCTGGGAAAGGCAAGGCTTTGAAGAAGACCGTATCTCTGGAAATAAAGTTAGACAATGTTAGGTGGCAGGCTCGTATTAATTATTTTCTATTTTTTCTTTTTTAAGATAGGATAGCTTTTTTCTGTGATACATGTCTGTGTCGCACAGGCCAGGAATGTATCCTATTGAAACCCATGTTAAAAAGACTCCCGATTTACATTAATTTGATATACTGTAGGATTTCCAGAAACATAACCCTATCTTAAATAGGGGGTCTAACATAACCTATAAACTAAAAAGATGTACAGTGTTCAAAGTACTGTATTATAGGCAATTTGACTGACAGTGAAGGTACAAGAAGGTTGATGCCACACCAAAACCCAAAGTGCTGCTCCTTGCAGTTTCTCAATTGATTTTTTCAGGGTTGGCTAATTTAAACCAAAGGTTTTAATGCTTTGTAGTAGATTTGGAGAAGCATATGATAGGGTGAACAAAAAGCATTGTGGGAGATATGACAAATGTATGGGGTGGGAGGAAGGGTATTAAATGCAGCAAAAGCATTCTATGAGAACAGCAGGGCAACAGTAAATGGGAACGAAAGTGAAACATTGGAAATATGTGTGGATGTTAGACAAAGATGGGTTATGTCCCTGTGGTTGTTAATATATACCGGTGATTCCTAAATGGGGTTGCATAGAGGTCATGGGGTCGATGGGGTCCCATACAGCTCATAGTCCAGGTGTCAAGGACGTGGTCGACAGATACTGTCTCGTTAAGTCGGGACCATAAATTATGGTCAAGGGAATAATGCAGTTACTGTACTCTCCTTGTGTCGAGTCAGGTCAGTCCAGGGAAGGCAAACGCTGATGACACGTTACGCAGCAGAAAATTCACACTCCTACCTTTGAACTGTTCTCAACTCATTTCACTCTGTACTTCTCATGGATGCAGACAAAAAATGACAGCAAATTTCAATGATAGATTCCTTGAGTTGCTTACTGAATCTTTGGATTTTGTTCAGTTTCTTTTCAAGGCAGATGTAAAACAGTGTGGCTCTTTTGTCCTCGAAATGGCAGAATTCCAGGCTGACAATGAGGCAAGGGTGAATTTTGCCATCTATGGATTATTTATAAAATTGACATTCAGTGGCTAAAAATCGAGCTGTCACGGTTCTGATATAATTTGGAAGTCTGTAAGGCAGCTTTCTTGTCAGTGGTGTATATAAAATTTATTACATTAATTTTACTACAGCTACAACCAGGGTCTTATCTTCTTCAGTTTCTTTTGGAGAACCATCGTCACGGGTGTAAATGCTGTCAAAAACAATGCCGTCTCGTCTCCTCGTGTGTGTTTTAATATTCTACGTATTATTAATGAATTGTACTGTTCATTTTGCATATATAAACATTAATTCAATCAAATACATATTCAGTAATAAACAGTGATGAAACTTTTGTACATATTCTTAAGATAAAAGACACTGTTTCCTTGAGTGCACACGTATACTTTGGCGTTCCCAGTCCATCTCGCCTTTTTCTTTGCCATTAGTGGCTTTACTTTACTGTACAAATAACCTGTACTGTAATACTATTTATAGTCTTTATTTATCCCACTCAGTGTGAATATTCATAAGGTTCGTTGCAGAAATATTAATGTGTTTGCTTACCGGGTGCTGCCACAGACCCCGCTAGGGTGTTACCATAATATACGGCATATGTACAGTACTACCGTTCTGATATCTGAAAAATTCCGAATTCCGAAACACATCTGGCCCCAAGGGTTTTGGATAAGGGATTGTGGACCTGTAGCATTAAAAAACTTTTTTTTTTTACGGTGGTTTTTGCCAACCCTGCTTTGCCCGTATGTTTTAAATCACTGTAATATACATTGTCTTTAAATTATAGACACTCTCTACTATATAAACACATTAGTCTTCATTTTCCCCAAAAAATTTCATTTGATGTCAAAAATACATACTTGGGGTCATACCATGGATTTTGTTCAGATTTAACAAAAACGTACTACAGGTACTTTACATGCTGATTACGGATATGGGTTAACAATTTAAAAAATCAATTACAGGTGCTCCTCTACTTATGAACGTTCAACTTACAAACTTTCAGAGATACAAACATCATCACTGAGGGGGGTTACCTGCCAGAACAGGTGTTTAATGTGGATGAGACTGGATTATTTTGAAGAAAATTCCAGATAGAACAAACATTACCGAAGAGGAGAAGAGTGAGCCAGGTTTTAAGGCTGTTTTAAAAGGTATAGCTGTACTAAATATCCATAATCTTTTAATTTTTTTAAAATATGTTTGGTATTTACAAGAGTAAAGTTGGACTTACAAACAATTACTTACAAACAAGCCTCAGGAACGTAACGCGTTTGTAAGTAGAGGAGCACCTGTAATAAGTGTTAATTAATGACCTTTGAAATAATTAAACATATTTAGAATATTTAAAGTCAATTATGCTAGGCCCATAACTCTTAAATAACCTTTAGATACATTTTCTAAAAGAATATAGAATATCTTTACAGTGATGTCTCCGTTAACCGGAACAATTGGTGCAGAGCACTTCCGGGAATGAGAGATTTCCGGGTAATGAGACCACTCTCCCAAAGCCGGAAAAAAATCCCTTGACTCCAAAATTTTCTGGGTAACGGAAAAATTTTCTCAGAACTTCCAGAAATTGTGCATTACATCATCTCTCAAAACTAACCCAAAAAAAATCCCTCACCCGCAGAATTTTCCGGGTATTGGAAAATTTTTCTCAGAATTTCCAGAAAGTGCGCCTGATTTTCATCTCTCATAATCGGGTAAAGGTTCCCCATCCCCATATTTTTCTGGAATTTTCCAGGTACAAATACTGGAAAACTTTACTCAGAATTTTCCAGAAAATCTGTCCCCCAGAAAATCATTTCCAAAAAAGGAATTTTCCGGAAAATTCCGGCTTTGGGAAAAATTTTCCGAGAAAATTTCAGTTCCAGCTATCGGGGAGTTCCGATTAAGAGGGATTACGGCTAATGGAGATATTACTTATACACTTCCCCAAATATATCATTTGGCATTAAAAATATGCTCGAGTTAATACCTTGTGTGTCAGCACTAGGGTCATACTATGCTGATGAAGGATCTGGGTCCACAGTTTAAATATTTAAGTAATTAGTGTTAATTAATGACCTTTGAAATAATTAAAGATATTTAGAATATTTAAAAAGTCAATTATGCTGTGTCCTTAAGGTTTAATTCACCTTTATATACATTTTCTTTATAATATAGACTATCTTTACTGTATACACACATTAGTTTTCACTCTCCATAAAAATATATTTTAAAGGCAAAAATAGGCCTCACTTTGCATTTTGGCCCTTGGGTTCAGACGATAGATTTTGTTCATATTGCATACAAAAGTACTACTTAACATGCTGATTAAGGATCTTGCTTCACAATTTAAAAATTCCAGTAATTATTGTTAATTAATGACCTTTGAAATAATTAAAGGTAGTGTACTTTTCTAACACTAATTACTTGCCACCTTTGGGTTTTCAAGGTCACTTTTTGGTGTTTATGCGTTATTCTTGATGTACTTTAATAATTAGACATTAAATTTAAAAAAGTGTGCTCCTGAACAAGTTGATATTTGTAAAATTACTTGTCCAAATGACATCTCAAACATTTTAATTACTTTCCTCACTAATTACACACTATGGTTTTTCAAGGTCACTTTATGGTGTTTATGTGGATGTACTTAAGTAGTAAGACATATTAAAGTTCAATTCTGAGAGAAATGAGTTTTGGGCCTAAAATCCTAAAGGGTAAGGCTTACAGTTGCAGCCATAATCTTGATCTCACCAATTTTGTTCAAAAGCTCAATATTTGTCCTGAACATGCTGATTAAGGTTCTGTTGTCCGAAATTTGAGAGATGGATAGCACTGTTAACATGGTGTGGGAGGGTGAGGACGAATAACTGTTCATGCTTTGTAAACAATGACCAGGAATTTAATATGCTGCTATGACTTATCTGGGCTAGAATGTGGGATATTTTTTCTCAATAAAGTCCATTATTTTATGATAATGCTATAGCAACCTGCCACCAAATGAAGCTAAATAATATGGGCATTATGGTGAAATGGCATAAAGATGTGTTAAAGGGGTCCCACTTTTTTTTTTATGCATAAGGCACAGGAGCACATTGAAATGACTTTTCCACAAATTATTGGCTACCAGTACTTATATATAACACTTTATATTACGAAACAATTGTCAACAACTGTTTAGATAAGCAGGTATGCATCCCCACCCCATATACAGTAGATTAGCTTTTTCCAGGCTGGGTTTGTTCAAATTGGTCCGGTGTATCAAGTGTTTTGAATGATTCCTGGGTACTTTAAGAATTTTCACTCAAAGGAGAAAATATACCATATAAATTTCAGTGAGTGTGGGATTTTTAATTCAAAAAGTAAGTATTTTCTCACCAATGCGGGATACCATGGGTAACCACGGCACTTGGCCCACACCAAATCTAGAGGCTCCAATGGTATTTGGTCCCCAGTATGGCCTGAACCTGGAGAATCGCCTTCAGCACTCGAGTCGCTCCCACTTCCTCCTCCATCCGAGTCTGTCTCTGAGGCAGTGTCATCTTCTGTGTCTGACAAGCTGGAGTTGGATTCAGAATGAGTATCTTCATCTGTTTCTGGGGGAATTTCTGTTTGGGGAAAAATTTAAATAATTATGTAAACAAACCTTAAGGATTACAGCAATTATAAAAAATTGAAAGGAAAGTTTTCAGAAAGTGAAAAGGATTAAAAAGTGATACAACTTTTACTGGCCTAACATCTCTTCTCAAAATGTAATACATTAAGACTTTTGAAATTGAATTATATTCCCTAATTTATTGGTAATAAAACCCTAATTTGTGGCAGGAGGTGTGATGCAAGATGGATATGTGGTGCCTTTTCTACATTACAAGTGATAGTAATATCTCCGTTAGCTGGAATCCCTCAAACCCGGAACTCTCCGATAGCCGGAATAGAAGTTTTCTCGGAAAATCTTTCCCAAAGCCGTAATTTTCCGGAAAATTACGGGTTTGGGAACGATTTTCCGAGGGGCACATTTTCCGGAAAAATACAAGAAAATTTTTCTGATACCTGGAAAATTCCGGGGATGGGGAAGTTTTTTCTGGGTTTGAGAAAAGGAAAGTCAGGTGCATTTTCTGGAACTTTCAAGAAAATATTCCATTACCCAGAAAATTCCGGGAATGAAGGATTTTTTTATGACAGAGAGTCGTCTCGTTACCCAGAAATCTCTCATTCCCGGACGTGCTCTGCACCAATTGTTCTGGCTAACGAGGATATCATGATTAACAATCTTTTTTTTTCTTTTTTTAAGATTTCATTTGTACTAATGACATGCATAATGCTTTACACAGGAAACTTTGTTCATATTTGTTTTCTATACAACATGAAAGAATCTTCTAGATTACAAAACTGTTAAGTTTAATGTTAGTAAAAAATTATTGTTTTATATCACTAATAATAAACAGTGGTATCTTCTATTACTGTACTATAATACCCTACACCTATAGGTAAAAGATGAAGGTACAGTTGCCTCCACATGAATGTACCACACACCCTTGGGAGTATGTGAGGGCATAGGTACGAGATGTGGCAATGCAAGGCCGTAGTCAAGGCCATGAACTACTGGTTCCCAGTAGTTCAGCCCTAGTCATTCAGTCGTGGCTACACAACAATGCTGCATAACATAAACAAAGAAAGCATTAATGTGTGGCCATGCAAACAGGGTAATTTCACTGTTTCATACCTTTTCATTCATCCTTGAATACAGATGCATTGCCACAAATTGTTCCTAAGTCCTCACACACTCTCGGACTGTGGTTCATTCATGTGGAGGCAAATGTACCTTTTGGCATTGAGGTGCAATCAGTTGTTCTCTTAAATCTTCATAAATCTACCACCTTTGATAATGTCAACAAAATAAAAGATTTACATGAATTTTTTAGTTAAAAAAAAAAAAAAGAAAAAGAAAAAAGAAAGAAAGGAGTATTTAAACCCCCCCCCCCAATACTGTTATACAAATATGGAATGCAAGGAACATGAAACTTCTGAAGGCGATGGCTGCCATCCATACAGCTAACTTTCACTGATGATAACCACTGTCTTAAGATTAAATACTCAATTCAGCTCTTGACAGTTTCCTACCTCCTCCTTGTCGGTACGTTTTGAAAGAATCTTTAGCAGGTGGAGTTCCCGTATCAGACAGGTCTAGGATGGAGATGCCATCTGGGAATGACAGGGAGCCAGTTTTTGCATTCTGTAGAAAAAAATAAATAAAAAGTAATATCTTACCAAAGTTTTGAAATTTAATATTTATGCAAATTCAAACATGGGACCTTCACATATATTTTCTCAAGAATATAGACTAATTTTACCATTTAAATGTGTTAGTTTTCACTTCCAAAGATAAGGACATCTGATGTCCCGAGAACGCCTGACCTCACCTCTTATATAGTATATTATACAGATATCCCTCTTGATATGAACGTTTGATGCATGAAAATTCACGTATATGAATTTCCTAAACTGACACCACTATTTCATGTTACGAAAGCTTTCCGTGCTTATAAAAATTTGGGTCCTGGAAAAATTTAAATCACGCACTGAAGTAGGAGTTATGTTATCGTTATTTTTCAACTAATTGTGAATACTGTACATAAACATAACTTTCATCATATTTTTTTTTCATTCAGTTAAATGCACACAGAATCCTACATCTGTATATATATATATATATATATATATATATATATATATATATATATATATATATATATATATATATATATATATATATATATATATATATATATATATATATATATATATATATATATATATATATATCTTATATATATATATATATATATATATATATATATATATATATATATATATATATATATATATATATATATATATATATATATATATATATATATATATATATATATATATATATATATATATATATATATATATATATATATATATATATATATATATATATATCAAAGAAGTCTGTCTGTGTGTCCGCACGAGAATCTCGGAAACTACTTTACCGATCTGTAGTGATGATGGATGGTGTTATATGTAGTGATGATGGATGGTGTTATATGTAGTGATGATGGATGATGTTATATGTAGTGATGATGGATGTTATATGTAGTGATGATGGGTGGTGTTATATGTAGTGATGATGGATGGTGATATATGTAGTGATGATGGATGGTGTTATATGTAGTGATGATGGATGATGTTATATGTAGTGATGATGGGTGGTGTTATATGTAGTGATGATTAGACAATAAAATAATAACAGTTTAATGCTAAAAATATATACTTTGCTGTACCATTGTAGTGAAAAACATGGTGGAACTTACATACACCGTTAATGAACTATTGATGGAAGAAGAAGTTTTGGGGATTGAACAGTGAGACAGTGTGGAGCCTCCCGGAGGGTGGCGTCCTACCATGGCCTAGCGAAAGAGCCGCCCTCAGGGCGGCATTTCTGCTAGTAACATATACAGTATATATCTACTTTTCAGAAAAGTAGATCATAGAAAATGGGAAATTATCACAGGAAACGGGACTTTTTTAACGGAAACAAAGTTTTTATCATAGAAAACGGGAAATATCTACTTTTCAGGAAAGAAGATTACATAATCTTTTGAAAATTAGATTGTCATAGAGAACGGAAATTTTATTATAGAAAACGGGAATTTTTTATCATAGAAAATGGGAACTATCTACTTTCCGGGAAAGTTGGTTATCTACATTCCCGAAAGGTAGATTATCTACTTTTTGGGAAAGTAGATTATTGACTTTTGGGGAAATATTACCTAATTTTCTGAAGTAGATTGTCATAGAAAACAGGAAATTTGTATCACAGAAAATGGGAAATATCTACTTTCTGGGAAAGTTGGTTATCTACTTCCCAAAAAGTAGATTATCTACTTTTCGGGAAAGTAGATTATTGATGTAAGGGCGGTAACGAGCAGGAAGATGATTGCCGTCACTCGCTCGTTTGCTGGCTCGCAACCCCCACTTGGGGGGGTTAGACGGAGGTGAGAAGGTCGCTGCTACCAGTGACACCGGCAGATTCTACCCAGCTGTCAATACAGACACCTCCCCGCTGTTCGTCAAATTCTGGTTGTGATCTCATCATAGGTCCTGGACTCGTGGGCTGTTTCTCCAGGCCTTCACAAATCGACTGTCAATCTCCGGACACCTACCCCGGCTACTACCGCGGCAGCCATGTCATCGCCACTTCTTCCACCATCTGTGCCCTGGCGTTTCTCTAGTGTAGCAAGACCTCGCAGGAAGCTTACTTGACCTCCTCTCCTGAGAGTGGATCACCGCTTTTCAGAACCTTCCCTAGGGCCGCTGCCGTAGGAAATATCTGTTCATTGTTTGATTCCATTAATTGCTGACTCCAATTAATTGTTTGATTCCATTAATTGCTGACTCCCATTAATTGTTTGATTCCATCAATTGTTGACTCCCAGGAAATATTTGACTCCATTAATTGTTTGATTCTATTAATTGTTGGACTTCCATTAACTGTTTGACTGCATTAATTGTTGATTCTCATAATTGTTTGACTCCCGTATTTATTTGATGTTTGTTGAGTGGTGTCAGAGTTTTATGTTATATTTTTATAGTAAAGAGATGTCAATCTCAAACGGTTGTTTGTTATTCCTCGTAAAACCATGGTTCTTGACTTAACTTTTATAAGATCCTGATTAGGCTGGTAAGGGATTTCTATCCCTAAGTTCCAGCCCTTTACAAGTGGCAACCTTGCCAGGATTGTCTCTGACCTTGGTTTCTGAGGGCTAACATTCGTTACTGTGTTTGTTGTAAGTCTCCATGTGCGCGCTGCTTTGCTGTCAGTGGTCTGGAAGTAAGTGTTGTTCGGTGCTTATCCCTTCCTTCTGTTCTGCTAATTTTGTTGCTCTCCCTTGTGCTAGGGAAGTTAATTAGTGTTGGTTGGGATGCACTGTGGATACTGTCAGAGCATTTTGTTGTTATTTCACCTGGTGCGGTTCTTTTCCCTGAGGTGATTTAACTGAGCTGGGTGCGAAACAAGGTTTCCTCCAGTCGGATCAAATCATTTATTGGTTTGATTGAGCCACTAAATAAATACTTTGGGTCTGACAGGTGCTGAGATTGGTCGGTATGTGATCACGCAACAGAATGCCGAGAGAGAGGAATGTCAGAAAGAGAAGAACGTAACAGTGAAAGAGTGTTCGAATTAGCTAAGTTGCAGACAGAAAAGGACCTAGAACTAGCTAGGATTAATGCTTCAAGTAGACCAGAATCCTCTGGCCATATACAAGACAATGTGGTAAAACCCAGCTTGCCTGTGTATCGTGAAGGAGAAGACACCGCCTCCTACCTTGTTAGGTTTGAACGGGTAGCCGAGCTGCTTGGTGTGGACCCAGATAGCTATGCTGTAAGGTTGGGTAGCCTACTGAGTGGTAAACCGGTAGAGATTTACACGTCCCTGTCTGCCGACATCACTAGAGATTACTTTTTGTTGAAGCAAGCTCTCTTGCGAGGATTTAACAAGACTTAATAATAATAATAATAATAAACGGTTTATTAATAGAGTTGCAGCCGGTGGCTGAAAATATACAGGCTTACATTTGATTTAGACATAATAATATAATATGCGTTGGATACATTTACAGGGCTGTACAGTACATAAATCAGGAGTTGTTTATTATTTTAACAATAGGTGGATGATGCTATTCTTATATCTATCGGTGCGGGCTCTTATGGGCTGAATTTTGTTGTAGTGGCGGATTGTGCGAGGTGGGTGGGGGGCTGCCGGTGGCAGGAGGTGGCGATGATGAGGGTGGTGCATTAGTTGGCTGCCAAACCTTTCCAGTGCTTGGTGGTGGAGGTCACTGAGGGATGGCATTTCCAGGGTGGAGAGAGCGTTGATGTAGCCTGACTATTCTGAGCCGAGCATGATTCTGCAGGCTCTTTTCTGTACCTTTTCTAGTCGCCGTTGTTGGGTGGAGTTCTGATGGTTATCGTGTTGATTTCCGCAGAACGAAGATTAGAGCAGGAGAAACGTACCAGCAGTTTTCGATTCACTTGGGTCGTTTGTTTCAACAATGGCTAGAGGCGTCAGAGGTTGAGGACATCTTTGAGTGTCTCTCTAACTTCATGACATTAGATCAGTTTTTGTCTTCTCTACCTCCAGACTTGAGAATTTTCATCAAGGAGCACCAGCCAGCGACGCTTAGAGAAGCTGTACATTTTGCTGACAACTGGGCCTCAGCTCGCAACGCCTACCGTAAGTCTTCCCCTCCTGTAGTGAAGATTGCGAAGCCTCCGTCTTCCGAGGAACCATCCCCAGGAGTACAGAGGAGTAGCTCACCAGCCGTGCGGTGTCACAACTGCGGGGAAGAAGGGCACATTCGTTCTCGCTGTCCCAGGAATCCCCTCACCTTCAAATCTACTGACACTCATCAGCCCAGCTACAAGGTCGGATTCTGTTTGGAAGACAGGAGCTGCCCCGTTATTGTGTCGGCAGAACAATAAATGGGTCAAGGGCATCTACTTTCATCAGGGACACTGGTTGCTCTGCATTATTGTCTGAGGAAGCCCTGCCTGATGCTGACATCTCCAGCTGCTCGAAGGTTAGTGTCGCCGATTATTTAAGTCGTGTTGACCAGTTCCCTGTTGTTAGGTGCTACCTGCGTTGCCCCTACTTCACTGGTTGGTCTAATGTGGTAAGAGCTCCTATAAAATTCGCTAGTGTTCTCATTGGTAATGTTCCTGGTGTCCGTGACCCTAACGACCCGGAACCTTTAAAACTCTCCTCACCACCAGTACCAGTCTCCCCGCCACCAGGACTACCCTCCTTGCCACCTGCTGACAACGACTCGCCACCTGACGACATCTCCTCGCCACCTTTACACGCCACCACGCCTCCAGCAAAGGTCCTAGCTGTGGAGACATGGTCGGCGAAGGTGAAACGACTGCATCCCCTGGTTCTGCCGAATTTGTTGCCACTGACTGTGACGCCCAAGGAGTTCGCCAAGCTTCAAGCCTCGTGTACCACTCTGACACTGGTAAGGGAGAAGGTGACTTCCGGGGAGGAGGATCAGGTTAGAGATGGGTCTGTTTACAAGTTTGTTTCTATTAATGATCTGTTACACAGGTCTTGTGTGTCATCCAAGCGACCAGCCAAAGTAGGTAGGTTTTTACTTGTCCCTGCTGTTTGTCGTAGTAACATTCTCTCTGTAGCTCACAAGAGCCCTCTAGCAAGTCACTGTTCTAGTAGGAAAACTTATAGGAAGGTTGCTGATCAGTTTTAGTGGCCAGGTATAGGAGCGGTTATTAGAGCTTTTTGTAGGAGTTGTGATCAGTGCCAGCGTCATTGCAGAACCATTTTCTTGGGTAGCCATAGATTTTGTTGGACTGTTCTCACCCCCTTCCTCTAAGAAGCCTAAATTACATCAAGCTAATCTGTTAAGGAAATATAATTGCAGGACCCACATTGCTCGTGCCCTTGACGTTCCCAAGCTGGAGTCAGTCGAGGCACTACCCTGCAAGAGTTCCTCTGAAGTTCGGGCGCCAGACTCTGTTGATCTTGGGTGCCAGTTGCTGATAACACCTGACAAGATAGAAGAATCCTCTACGACTGGAAATAGGCCCAAACTTAAACCTGGAAGGAAGTGGATCCCACGTGCAGTTCCTTCATACGGCCTTACGTTTTGGACATCAAGTTACCACCTATTCCTTTATGTGACCCTTCTTTATTTTGCTATGTGATTTTAAGCATTTGTTGTAAGATGATTATGCTTTGTGTACTAATCTTAAGTTTTAATCTACTTTCCAGTAAATTTTGTTGGGGGAGCTGTGTAAGGGCGGTAACGAGCAGGAAGATGGTTGCCGTCGCTCGTTTGCTGGCTCGCTACCCCCACTTGGGGGTTAGACGGAGGTGAGAAGGTCGCTGCTACCAGTGACACCGGCAGATTCTACCCAGCCGTCATTACAGACACCCCTGCTGTTCGCCAAATTCTGGTTGTGATCTCATCATAGATCCTGGACTCGTGGGCTGTTTCTCCAGACTTTCACAAATCGACTGTCGATCTCCGGACACCTACCCCGGCTACTACTGCGGCAGCCATGTCATCGCCACTTCTTCCACCATCTGTGCCCTGGCGTTTCTCCAGTGTAGCAAGACCTCGCAGGAAGCTGACTTGACCTCCCCTCCCCCCTGAGAGTGGATCACCGCTTTTCAGAACCTAACCCAGGGCCACTGCCGTAGGAAATATCTGTTCATTGTTTGATTCTATTGGATGTTTGATTCCATTAATTACTGACTCCCATTGTTTGATTCCACTATTTGCTGACTCCCATTAATTGTTTGATTCCATCAAGTGTTGACTCCCAGGAAATATTTGATTCCATTGTTTGATTCCATTAACTGTTTGACTGCATTAATTGTTGATTCTCATAATTGTTTGACTCCTGTAATTGTTTGTTGAATGGTGTCAGTTTTATGTTATATTTTTATAGTAAAGAGATGTCAATCTCAAACGGTTGTTTGTTATCCCTCAGAAAACCATGGTTCTTGACTTTCCTTTTATAAGATCCTCATTAGGCTGGTAAGGGATTTCTATCCCTAAGTCCCTGGCCTTTACAATGGACTTTTCGGGGAAGTAGATTACCGACTTTTGGGGGTAATATTACCGAATTTTACGAAGTAGTTTATCATAGAAAACGGGAAATTTGTATCACAGAAAATGGGAAATATCTACTTTCTGGGAAAGTTGGTTATCTACTTTCCCGAAAAGTAGATAATCTACTTTTCGAGAAAGTAGATTATCGACTTTTTGGGGAAGTAGATTACCGACTTTTGGGGGAAATATTACCGAATTTTCCGAAGTAGATTATCATAGAAAACGGGAAATTTGCATCACAGAAAATGGGAAATATCTACTTTCTGGGAAAGTTGGTTATCTACTGATCATAGAAAACGGGAAATTTGTATCATAGAAAATGGGAAATATCTACTTTCCGGGAAAGTTGGTTATCTACTTTCCCGAAAAGTAGATTATCTACTTTTCGGGAAAGTAGATTATCGACTTTTTGGGGAAGTAGATTACAGACTTTTGGGGGAAATATTACCGAATTTTCCGAAGTAGATTATCATAGAAAACGGGAAATTTGCATCACAGAAAATGGGAAATATCTACTTTCTGGGAAAGTTGGTTATCTACTTATCATAGAAAACGGGAAATTTGTATCATAGAAAATGGGAAATATCTACTTTCCGGGAAAGTTGGTTATCTACTTTCCCGAAAAGTAGATTATCTACTTTTCGAGAAAGTAGATTATCGACTTTTTGGGGAAGTAGATTACCGATTTTGGGGGAAATATTACCGAATTTTCCAAAGTAGATTATCATAGAAAACGGGAAATTTGCATCACAGAAAATGGGAAATATCTACTTTCTGGGAAAGTTGGTTATCTACTGATCATAGAAAACGGGAAATTTGTATCATAGAAAATGGGAAATATCTACTTTCCGGGAAAGTTGGTTATCTACTTTCCCGAAAAGTAGATTATCTACTTTTCGAGAAAGTAGATTATCGACTTTTTGGGGAAGTAGATTACCGAATTTTGGGGGAAATATTACCGAATTTTCCGAAGTAGATTATCATAGAAAACGGGAAATTTGCATCACAGAAAATGGGAAATATCTACTTTCTGGGAAAGTTGGTTATCTACTGATCATAGAAAACGGGAAATTTGTATCATAGAAAATGGGAAATATCTACTTTCCGGGAAAGTTGGTTATCTACTTTCCCGAAAAGTAGATTATCTACTTTTCGAGAAAGTAGATTATCGACTTTTTGGGGAAGTAGATTACCGACTTTTGGGGGAAATATTACCGAATTTTCCGAAGTAGATTATCATAGAAAACGGGAAATTTGCATCACAGAAAATGGGAAATATCTACTTTCTGGGAAAGTTGGTTATCTACTGATCATAGAAAACGGGAAATTTGTATCATAGAAAATGGGAAATATCTACTTTCCGGGAAAGTTGGTTATCTACTTTCCCGAAAAGTAGATTATCTACTTTTCGAGAAAGTAGATTATCGACTTTTTGGGGAAGTAGATTACCGACTTTTGGGGGAAATATTACCGAATTTTCCGAAGTAGATTATCATAGAAAACGGGAAATTTGCATCACAGAAAATGGGAAATATCTACTTTCTGGGAAAGTTGGTTATCTACTTATCATAGAAAACGGGAAATTTGTATCATAGAAAATGGGAAATATCTACTTTCTGGGAAAGTTGGTTATCTACTTTCCCGAAAAGTAGATTATCTACTTTTCGGGAAAGTAGATTATCGACTTTTTGGGGAAGTAGATTACCGACTTTTGGGGAAATATTACCGAATTTTCCGAAGTAGATTATCATAGAAAACGGGAAATTTGTATCACAGAAAATGGGAAATATCTACTTTCTGGGAAAGTTGGTTATCTACTTATCATAGAAAACGGGAAATTTGTATCATAGAAAATGGGAAATATCTACTTTCCGGGAAAGTTGGTTATCTACTTTCCCGAAAAGTAGATTATCTACTTTTCGAGAAAGTAGATTATCGACTTTTTGGGGAAGTAGATTACCGAATTTTGGGGGAAATATTACCGAATTTTCCGAAGTAGATTATCATAGAAAACGGGAAATTTGCATCACAGAAAATGGGAAATATCTACTTTCTGGGAAAGTTGGTTATCTACTGATCATAGAAAACGGGAAATTTGTATCATAGAAAATGGGAAATATCTACTTTCCGGGAAAGTTGGTTATCTACTTTCCCGAAAAGTAGATTATCTACTTTTCGGGAAAGTAGATTATCGACTTTTTGGGGAGGTAGATTACCGACTTTTGGGGGAAATATTACCGAATTTTCCGAAGTAGATTATCATAGAAAACGGGAAATTTGCATCACAGAAAATGGGAAATATCTACTTTCTGGGAAAGTTGGTTATCTACTTATCATAGAAAACGGGAAATTTGTATCATAGAAAATGGGAAATATCTACTTTCCGGGAAAGTTGGTTATCTACTTTCCCGAAAAGTAGATTATCTACTTTTCGAGAAAGTAGATTATCGACTTTTTGGGGAAGTAGATTACCGAATTTTGGGGGAAATATTACCGAATTTTCCAAAGTAGATTATCATAGAAAACGGGAAATTTGCATCACAGAAAATGGGAAATATCTACTTTCTGGGAAAGTTGGTTATCTACTGATCATAGAAAACGGGAAATTTGTATCATAGAAAATGGGAAATATCTACTTTCCGGGAAAGTTGGTTATCTACTTTCCCGAAAAGTAGATTATCTACTTTTCGAGAAAGTAGATTATCGACTTTTTGGGGAGGTAGATTACCGACTTTTGGGCGAAATATTACCGAATTTTCCGAAGTAGATTATCATAGAAAACGGGAAATTTGCATCACAGAAAATGGGAAATATCTACTTTCTGGGAAAGTTGGTTATCTACTGATCATAGAAAACGGGAAATTTGTATCATAGAAAATGGGAAATATCTACTTTCCGGGAAAGTTGGTTATCTACTTTCCCGAAAAGTAGATTATCTACTTTTCGAGAAAGCAGATTATCGACTTTTTGGGGAAGTAGATTACCGACTTTTGGGGGACATATTACCGAATTTTCCGAAGTAGATTATCATAGAAAACGGGAAATTTGCATCACAGAAAATGGGAAATATCTACTTTCTGGGAAAGTTGGTTATCTACTTTCCCGAAAAGTAGATTATCTACTTTTCGAGAAAGTAGATTACCGACTTTTGGGGAAAATATTACCGAATTTTCCGAAGTAGATTGTCATAGAAAATGGGAAGTTTGCATCACAGAAAATGGGAAATATCTTCTTTCTGGGAAAGTTGGTTATCTACTTATCATAGAAAACGGGATATTTGTATCATAGAAAATGGGAAATATCTACTTTCTGGGAAAGTTGGTTATCTACTTCCCGAAAAGTAGATTATCTACTTTTCGAGAAAGTAGATTATCGACTTTTTGGGGAAGTAGATTACCGACTTTTGGGGGAAATATTACCGAATTTTCCGAAGTAGATTGTCATAGAAAACGGGAAATTTGCATCACAGAAAATGGGAAATATCTACTTTCTGGGAAAGTTGGTTATCTACTGGTCATAGAAAACGGGAAATTTGTATCATAGAAAATGGGAAATATCTACTTTCCGGGAAAGTTGGTTATCTACTTTCCTGAAAAGTAGATTATCTACATTTCGGGAAAGTAGATAACCAACTTTCCCGGAAAGTAGATATTTCACATTTTCTATGATACAAATTTCCTGTTTCCTATTATAATAGAAAACCAACTTTCCCAGCAAGTAGATATTTCCCATTTTCTGTGATACAAATTTCCCTTTTGCTATGATAATCTACCTTGTAAAATTCGGTAATATTTCCCAAAAAGTCGATAATCTACTTTCCCGAAAAGTCGATATTCTACTTTCCCGAAAAGTAGATAATCTACTTTTCGGGAAAGTAGATAACCAACTTTCCCGGAAAGTAGATATTTCCTACTTTCTATAATACAAATTTCCTGTTTTCTATGATAAATAGAAAACTAACTTTCCCAGCAAGTAGATATTTCCCATTTTCTGTGATACAAATTTCACATTTTCTATGATAATCTACTTCGGAAAATTCGGAAATATTTTAAAAAAGAAGTCGATAATCTACTTTGCGGAAAAGTTGATAATCTACTTTCTCAAAATGTAGATAATTTACTTTTTGGGAAAGTAGATAATCTACTTTTCAGGAAAGTAGATAACCAGCTTTCCCAGAAAGTAGATATTTCCCATTTTCTATGATAAAAAAATTCCCATTTTCTATAATAAAATGGCCGTTTTCTATGACTATCTAATTTTTGAAAAATTATGTAATCTACTTAACTGAAAAGTAGATAATTCCTGTTTTCTATGATAAAAACTTTCCGTTTCCATTAAAAAATTTCCCGTTTTCTGTCAGAATTTCCCATTTTCTATAATCTACTTTTCTGAAAAGCAGATATCTATATATATATATGTTACTAGCAGACACGCCAGCTCTTTCGTTAGGCCACGGTAAGATGCCACCCTCTGGGAGGCTCCACATTGTCTCACTGTTCAGTCCCCAAAACTTCTTATTCCATCAATAGTTCATTAACGGTGTATGTAAGTTCCACCATATTTTTCACTACAACAGTGCAGCAAAGTATATTTTTGTTCAATCCAGAATGCGACGCTTTGCTTTTAACCTAGGTCAACATACAGGCAATTAAAACATCTCATAATTACTTAAGTAATATTAGGAGGACACGTCACTACCTGGTATTTAATTGCAATTGAGCAAAGTATATTTTTTTAACATTAAACTGTTATTATTTTATTGTCTAATCATCACTACATATAACACCACCAATCATCACCACATATAACATCATCCATCATCACTACATATAACACCATCCATCATCACTACATATAACACCATCCATCATCACTACATATAACACCACCCATCATCACTACATATAACAACATCCATCATCACTACATACAACATCATCCATCATCACTACATATAACACCATCCATCATCACTACATATAACACCATCCATCATCACTACAGATCGGTAAAGTAGTTTCCGAGATTCTCGTGCGGACACATAGACAGGCTTCTTTGTTTTATATATATAGATAATGTAATGTTGAAGGGATACAACTTTGCTCACTTATACTTATCACAATCTCCCTAAAAAATACTTTAGGATTCGTGTTTATTCAAGACGTCTTCTGGTCATGAGACCCACTAATCCCCCACCCAAGAAAAGGTGACCTGACATACCATTAGCAGGTCACTAATATGAGATCCTCCCCCCACCTGACATTGTGTCAGGTCAGGTCAGTTACACGAGACCCACTAACCACCACAGCTCCATGGGAGTGAAAAATAAGTTTTTACTGTAACACACAGCTTCTTTGATGCCCATATTCTATAGATTTTTCATTTTTAAATATATTTATTTAACCAAACTTTTAGATAAACTATTCTGGGTTATTATAGTAAAGAACTGTATTTACAGACTCCGGTAGTTTAGACTCAAGAAAAACATCACCAGTACCCAGAAACGTTCTGGGGAAGTGGGCTAATGTCCGTCTGTGCAAATTGTCTAGTTTAAACACTTGGAAACTTGTCCCAGTAACCGGAAAAGGTTCTGGGGATAAGGAATTTTTCCGGGTTTGAGAAAGTCGTCTGGTTAGCCAGAAATATCTCATCCTCGGAAGTGCTCTGCACCAATTGTTCCGGCTAATGGGGATATCACTAAATATATACAAATAAATCAGTGTAGGTGCGCATGATCCATTATATGCTGACAACCACATAGGAAACAAGAAAATATAAAAATCAACACCAAAAATTTTGAGAGAAAAATTTATTTTGTAAGATGTCGGGAAATATTCATACTATAGTACACAATTTAGGTTACTAGAAATCTTATACATGAATTGACTGTTAAACTCTGGTAACAAATTCATGCTTTTGGAGGACGCATTTAATATATACCTATTTTTACCCACAATAAGACATACTAAGACAAATTACATATCAGTAAAACTACATTATGCAAAACCTAACATTATAAAAGATCAGAATCACTGAAATATTACACAGCCCCTGAAAATTGGTGGATGAGTATGACAGACTTGGCTACTCTAGCGAACAACTGTCAGCAGAGGCGGGAAATATAACTGTGAACAACTTTATATTTTAGTGTGATTCTGATCTTTTAAAATGTTCGTTTTTGCATAATGTAGTTTTACTGATACGTAATTTGTCTTAGTACAGTATGCCTTATTGTGGGTAAAAATAGGTATATATTAAATGTGTCCTCCGAAAGCATGAATTTGTTACCAGAGTTTAACAGTGAATTCATGTATAAGATTTCTGATAAACTTCCTACGTGCTCCTGTTTGAAATAATGAATGTATGTAGTATCTTTATATAATTTAGGTAAATATATTTCTCGTCAGAAACGGTCATCCCAATGATTACGAATAAACTCATTTAGAAATACATCATTACTTCAGGACGAAATCGGACAGATTTGAAACAGCCAATCAACTGTAACTCTTGAGGAGGTGGCAGGGCATCTTTTCTCAGCTGGGAAAAAACACATTATAGTGCAAGGATGTGTTCAGCTATGGTGCTGCCAATATAACACAAGGCCACAAATACCTATTTGGTTTACCCTTTATTTCACACAACTTTACTTCAACTGAGCTTCCAACCCCCAAATTCAATCTGCTTTCTAGTCATTCAAGCACACTGCTACTTCCTGGATGTCCTGGTCTTCCTCTCTCCCTATTCTCTCAATATTATCTTCTCACCTGAGTCGACCCTGATCTATATTCCCGTACACTTCATTTCCACATAATAGTTGTTCTCTCCTAATTTACCCTACAGCACCAAATTTATAACTGAAAGGTGGTCATGTGGACAGCCTTAGGGAGTTTTTTCTAATGTCATAAATATATTATATACTGTATATATACTGTATATATATATATATATATTGTATATATCGAAATCTCAAAGTTCATTCCAAAGTTGATGACTAACCATTGATGGGCCTTTCTTCTTGCGAATGGATTTAGCATTCTTCTCTGGCGACTGAATCTCTGCATCACTGTTAGTTCCCTGGGTGCCCTCTGATCCACGACGTTGACGAGATATCCGCTTCTGTGGGGAGGAGTTGTCAGGTTTCTGAAAAAAGTTACTGAAGATTACCACGCAATATGCTGACCTTAATACTGAAGTGCAACTTTTCCCCTCTCGAGCATGATAAAAATGCACCAACCATTTCCATCAAATAATAATGTAAGCACAGTGTATAGATATGTAAATACCAAGATATGTGAACACGCCTGACGCCAAGACTCTGTTACCATTCATTGTACCATTTATTCACATGTCTGTATTACTACATATTATTATAGCATGTTTGATATCTATGCTTATGTCTAATGCCTATGTTCACTTACCATGTACCGATGTACTATGTCTGTACCGCGCTAGTCGAGTAACTAGAAGACCTCATTTATTGTCCTAGTAATGTCTAGCAACTCTCCTTGCCTAGCTAGCTAACTTCCCTCAGATCGGCTTCGGCCTGCCTACGACACGGATTCCCTTGTGCTCGCTCCTGCTTCTGTATCGGTCGGCTATCCTGCCAAGTCTTGTACTACTTATTGAATATATCTACTGCTCGTGCCCTGGAGTTTCAAGAACCTTGTCTAGGATTGCATCCCACCACACACAGTACTATACTGTTGAAAATTATATTTAATATACTGTTTAAATAAGTATAACATTCAGGGAAATACTAGAGATTGTCCTGGCTGTCTCTACGCCCTCTTCATGGGCATCTGTATCATTTATCCCAATTACAAATATTTATCATGCCTTATACAGCATGCCCATAAAATTCGCGGGGATTGGGTCCTTAAAATGGCTGCGAATAGCTAAATCCGTGAAAAACATTTGCTTACGTGGGGCTTTACATTTTTACTCATGTGCAAAGAAATATATACCGTGTTCCTTTGTGTTTGCCCTTAGAACAATTATTTCTTTTCCCTGTACTGCATTGGGAAAATCCTCTCACGAATAATCAGAAACAAGACAACAAAATGTAGAAAAATTTGAGTCTACCCTCAAGTCAACTCGGTGCTTTGTTATTAAAGTTAACTTTAATAACAAAGCACGGAGTTGATATTTTTTCTACATTTTGTTGTCTTGTTTCTGATTATCTGTGAGAGGATTTTCCCATTAATATTTATTTGTATGTGTTTTGTGTGTGCAGGTAAAAGAAATCACTGTCTCTAGAACGAATGGCTCCCTGTCCCGGCCGCGAAAATGCCACCAACTTTAAAACTACCCTCAGACATCCTTGGGTACATCCAGGGTGTCATCCACAAATAATCAGGGTCCACGTATTAAAAATCTGCGAATTGTCAGGGCATGCTGTACTCGTGTCATTTGGTATTTAAAATAATCACACACACTCTACTCCCACCTGAGATCCCTCGTCCGAGAATTGTTGTTCGACGCCACAACCGCATCTAGCCCATACGAGCACGTACTGATCGCTATAAGAACAGCCCAATCCCAACCATTGTAAAATTATCAATGACTTGTAATCAATCAGTGTATTCACTCCCACTCAGTCTTACCTTTTTGCAGTCACTATATTGAAATGCCCTTTAGTATGACCTTCTCCCCACCTGGTTATTATATATCATATTTGTTTCACTTATGTTACTTGTATATTATTTGTCAATCAAGAGACCCATTCCCCAATTATGTAACTATATTTTCAGCCTTCTGGCTGCCATGCTCTTTCAATAAACTGTTAATTATTATTATTATTGTTATATATATCATGAGTGTGCAGCGGCACACTTCATTGCTGACTATTCATGATGCCACTGAGCCATCGCCATCTTTAAACAAAATATGAAAAAATTTTCAAGCAGTGTGGCATGAAATATAATTTCAACAATTTCATTATTGGTAATTTGTTTTCATAAATTGAGAATTATGTCTGCAATTTATACACTATGCTTATGCAAAATGACATAAAAAGAGCTTTCATACAAGAAAGGTTATCTGTACAGTATTTGAATATTTCTGTCACTGTTTACTCAAAGTATGTTTGGGGAAGATGGGCATTTTAAGTTTCTTGGTTTCTTGAGACTGAGGCTTTAGTTGGAATGGAGTGGTGTTGATGCAAAGATAATACTGTATGGGTAAATGTAACTTTCTAAACCATACAAAGTACAACTTCATCACTAGGCTACCAACCTTAAACAAGGCTCCAGCCTTTTTTGTGAAAAGAACCGAGGTGCGACGATTAACACCTGATGGAGAGCTAGGTACAGATGGGGGCTCTTCTTCAGGACCATCTTCACTACTCTCCTTGTTGGGAGTTGCAGTATCAACTGATTCACTCTCCACTGTGAATATAAAAAGGTCAGAATAAATAGTATTTTTAGTTACTAATTACTGCTGCATTCATCTTACTATATTGCTGTATTCTAAATGTGTTGCAATTATTTCAAGGGTCATTAATTAATACCAATTACTTAAATTAAAAAATTTCACCTACATTCTTAATCAGTAAGTCAAGAATTCCCTCTATGAAATTTCAGCAAAATCTAAATTTTGACCACATCTGGTAAAACGCAAGGTAATAGGTCAGGCATTTTTAAGCGATAAAGACTTTAATGTTAAAGTCAATCATTATTCATGAGAAAACGTATAACGAAGTGATATAAAAATTACAGGCATAAAGAATGCAAATACCCCATCCCTGACGGGTACAGCACACTGTTTAGTAAGCCTTTGGTGCAAAAGAAGGCAGCTTGGCAGTACTGCACTTGCCTGCCCTCCCTTCCCTAACTACAAAGTTAGGTGCCCACTCACAGTTGGGTGAACTGGGGGTGCCCTAGGCGCAAACCAGCGACTCTTAGGACAGGAGGCGAGAGCTGTATCCACTTAGCTGCTGCACCCCAGAGGATGAAATAGAAGTAAAATATCTTACTTTTATGAAAATTTTGTGCCCCAAAAAGCATTAGACAAGAATAAAACTGTCTTCCTGCCAATTCTCTTAAAATGATACTCTAAAATGAGGGATTGACCTTGAAATTCCAATTTATAACGAAGGCAGGATCAGGCAACTCACACACTGCATTGCCTAGTTGAACCTAAATACCTCGACAATATGCATATACATGTATGGAACCATTTATCTGGCATCCAGAACACTAAAAAAAATTACAATGTTCTGGAACAAATTATATAAAATGAGCGCCAAGTAATTCCCGGACCGAGTAGAGAAATTTATATAAGTTCCACACATGTGAACTATATGTTACGTTATGGTTATTTTTAACTCGTAAACCTGGGTAGATACAGTAATTTCCCCATTAGCCAGAATCCCTGATCCCCAGAACTCTTTAATAGCCAGAATTTATATCATCCTGGACTTTTTCCGGAAAATTTTTGCACTTCCGGGTCTGCAAACGAGTTTCTGAAGTTGAAAATCAGCCATAATTTCCAGAAAAATTCAGTGAAAATTCTGGATAATATCTCTAATTTATTTATTTATATTTTTTCTTCTGGGTCTGGTGACAAATTCTGAGAATGTAATAATATGCAATTTTTGAAGAAATTCCAGGGGTTATGAAAGATTGTATCATGCTCTGCACGACCTCACATGCTGGGTGAGAAGACAGTTTGGGTAACTTGAGCCGTAGACTAGCATGCTGCAATTGGCTAATGTTATATATTGTTTGAAAGTTGTCGACGAAGTTACTCCAAAATCTCTCATCCCTGAACGAGCTCTGCACCAATTATTCCAGCTAAAGGGGAGATGGCTAGTGTATGTGTGAGCTTTTTTTTTTATTCAGTTACATGAACACACAATCCCATAAAAAAAATTGCGAAAAAAACCCAGTGAAATCTCATTTGACATGATTGGTTGAAGTGTGACCATAGTTATAACTAATGCAGAAAGCCATGGATTGTGTGAGTAGCAGTATAGTATTAATTTAATGATCTTTTAATTATTTAAGCCCCTAATTTAACAATTTTAGTTATTGGACAATATAAGTGTGCACTTTAAGTAATACAGATATACAGTAATACCCTAGATACATTCCTGAATAATTGATTACTTTCCAAAACAGCATTATAAGGGGCCATTAAGCGATTGCATATACTAGATAATCTACTTTTCGGGAAAGTAGATAACCAACTTTCCCGGAAAGTAGATATTTCCCATTTTCTATGATAAAAATTTCCCGTTTTCTATTTAAAGTAGATAACCAACTTTCCCGGAAAGTAGATATTTCCCTTTTTCTGTGATACTAATTTCCCGTTTTCAATGAGAATCTACTTCGGAAAATTCGGTAATAATTTCCAAAAAAGTCGATAATCTACTTTCCCGTAAAGTAGATAATCTACGTTACCGAAAAGTAGATAATCTACTTTTTAGGAAAGTAGATAACCAACTTTCCCAGAAAGTAGATATTTCCCATTTTCTGTGATACTAATTTCCCGTTTTCCATGACAATCTACTTCGGAAAATTAGGTAATATTTCCCCAAAAGTCGATAATCTACTTCCCCGAAAATTCAATAATCTTCTTTCCCAAAAAGTAGATTATCTACTTTTTGGGAAAGTAGATATTTCCCATTTTCTGTTAAAAATTTTCCGGTTTCTATGATAAGTAGATAACCAACTTTCCCAGCAAGTAGATATTTCCCATTTTCTGTGATGCAAATTTCCCGTTTTCTATGATAATCTACTTCGGAAAATTTGGTAATATTTTCCAAAAAAATCGATAATCTACTTCCCCGAAAAGTCAATAATCTACTTCCCGAAAAGTAGATAATCTACTTTTTGGGAAAGTAGATAACCAACTTTCCCAGAAAGTAGATATTTCCCATTTTCTATGTTAAAAATTTCCCGTTTTCTATGATAAGTAGATAACCAACTTTCCCAGCAAGTAGATATTTCCCATTATCTGTTATACTTATTTCCCGTTTTCTGTGACAATCTACTTCGGAAAAATAGGTAATATTTCTCCAAAAGTCGATAATCTACTATCACAAAAAGTCGATAATCTACTTTTTAGGAAAGTAGATAACCAACTTTCCCAGAAAGTAAATAATTCCCATTTTCTGTGATACTAATTTACCGTTTTCTATGACAATCTACTTCGGAAAATTAGGTAATATTTCCCCAAAAGTCGATAATCTACTTCCCCGAAAATTCGATGATCTACTTTCCCAAAAAGTAGATAATCTCCATTTCGGGAAAGTAGATATTTCCCATTTTCTGTGATACTAATTTCCCGTTTTCTATGACAATCTACTTCGAAAAATTAGGTAATATTTCCCCAAAAGTCGGTAATCTACTTCCCCGAAAAGTCGATAATCTACTTTCCCGAAAAGTAGATAATCTACTTTTTGGGAAAGTAGATAACCAACTTTCCAAGAAAGTAGATATTTCCCATTTTCTATGATACAAATTTCCCGTTTTCTATGATAAGTAGATAACCAACTTTTCCATTAACTAGATATTTCCCATTTTCTGTGATGCAAATTTCCCGTTTTCTATGATAATCTACTTCGAAAAATTAGGTAATATTTCCCCAAAAGTCGGTAATCTACTTCCCCGAAAAGTAGATAACCAACTTTCCCAGAAAGTAGATATTTCCCATTTTCTATGATACAAATTTCCCGTTTTCTATGATAAGTAGATAACCAACTTTCCCAGAAAGTAGATATTTCCCATTTTCTGTGATGCAAATTTCCCGTTTTCTATGATAATCTACTTTGGTAAATTCGGTAATATTTCCCCCAAAAGTCGGTAATCTACTTCCCCAAAAAGTCGATAATCTACTTTCCCGAAATGTAGATAATCTACTTTTCGGGAAAGTAGATAACCAACTTTCCCAGAAAGTAGATATTTCCCATTTTCTATGATACAAATTTCCCGTTTTCTATAAGTAGATAACCAACTTTTCCAGAAAGTAGATATTTCCCATTTTCTGTGATGCAAATTTCCCGTTTTCTATGATAATCTACTTCGAAAAATTAGGTAATATTTCCCCAAAAGTCGGTAATCTACTTCCCCGAAAAGTAGATAACCAACTTTCCCAGAAAGTAGATATTTCCCATTTTCTATGATACAAATTTCCCGTTTTCTATGATAAGTAGATAACCAACTTTTCCATTAACTAGATATTTCCCATTTTCTGTGATGCAAATTTCCCGTTTTCTATGATAATCTACTTTGGAAAATTCGGTAATATTTCCCCCAAAAGTCGGTAATCTACTTCCCCAAAAAGTCGATAATCTACTTTCCCGAAATGTAGATAATCTACTTTTCGGGAAAGTAGATGACCAACTTTCCCGGAAAGTAGATATTTCCCATTTTCTATGATACAAATTTCCCGTTTTCTATGATAAGTAGATAACCAACTTTCCCAGAAAGTAGATATTTCCCATTTTCTGTGATGCAAATTTCCCGTTTTCTATGATAATCTACTTCGGAAAATTCGGTAATATTTCCCCCAAAAGTCGGTAATCTACTTCCCCGAAAAGTCGATAATCTACTTTCCCAGAAAGTAGATATTTCCCATTTTCTATGTTACAAATTTCCCGTTTTCTATGATAAGTAGATAACCAACTTTCCCAGAAAGTAGATATTTCCCATTTTCTGTGATGCAAATTTCCCGTTTTCTATGATAATCTACTTTGGAAAATTCGGTAATATTTCCCCCAAAAGTCAGTAATCTACTTCCCCAAAAAGTCGATAATCTACTTTCCCGAAATGTAGATAATCTACTTTTCGGGAAAGTAGATAACCAACTTTCCCGGAAAGTAGATATTTCCCATTTTCTATGATACAAATTTCCCGTTTTCTATGATAAGTAGATAACCAACTTTCCCAGAAAGTAGATATTTCCCATTTTCTATGTTACAAAGTTCCCGTTTTCTATGATAAGTAGATAACCAACTTTCCCAGGAAGTAGATATTTCCCATTTTCTGTGATGCAAATTTCCCGTTTTCTATGATAATCTACTTCGGAAAATTCGGTAATATTTCCCCCAAAAGTCGGTAATCTACTTCCCCAAAAAGTCGATAATCTACTTTCCCGAAATGTAGATAATCTACTTTTCGGGAAAGTAGATAACCAACTTTCCCGGAAAGTAGATATTTCCCATTTTCTATG